TTAAAAAGATTTTTGCGTCCATGCTTCGAAATTCCTGAACCGTACTTTTCAGACTCTGATCCAACTGCTAGCAGCTGCTAGTAACTCAGCCACTCCATGGATTTTGTCTGGAATCAGTGGATATTCCTTTTGTTCACAATTTTAACTATGCCGATTTACTTATCCATCATGTACATCACTTACAAAGATTATAAATCTATACAACGACAAAAGACAGCATCGTTGCTTACGATATCGCAGGTGAATACAAACGCGCAGTCGGTTTCTATCTTGGTGCATCATGCTTTGCAAGCTAATGAGAAAACCTCCCAATGGAAATGAATTAAAAAAATAAAAAATAGAAAGAAAAAAAGTAGATGGAAATAACACTTTGAGAGTTGTGAGCCGATAATATGTAGGCTGCTGATGACGAAGGCGCAATATCTTCGGGCGCGAACGCGGCTTTATTAGCTGCAGAGCGCATGAGGTGCAGAATCTACAACGGTGAGGATACGCGCGCGTCGCGTTCGCGCCCGCTCAACTAATATCGCCATTGCGCCTTCGTCATGCAGCAGCCTTTGATTTGATGGTTGTGTACTTGACTCTTTGGGGCTGTAGTAAATGACATATGGCTTCAATTTAGCTAAATAGAGCGATATTACATTGCATTTTTTTCTACGCTAAACTCATATATATTCTATAATTCAGGCCACAGCAGACATTCTAGTTATGATAAATTATATCATCTTTATAACGCTAAAAACAACAGATCTCTTCAACGACATTTTCTGGAAATTGCAAGACTACTACATCGGCACTTGGTGTTTTGCCCAGTACTATTATTCTCTCGTCTTACGAGGGTTCGGCATTCTGCTCATAAGCATTCATCGCTACATTACCATGTGTAAAAATGGAACGGCTGTGGAAAAAGTAACAAAAGAAAACATACTATCCTATTTGCAGTTTTAACGAAAGATTTTTCAGTATATAAACTCGGACCAGAGATGGCTCATGGTGCTCTTACACTGGTTGTTTCCGTCTATTTATATGCTTCCATTTTTATGCAGAGAGAAAGTGATGTTCAATGATAAGAAACAACTGGATCTCATCCCGGATAATAGATTGATTTCGGTAAGTTCATTTCATGTCTCAAAAATTTCTTCATTTTTTCTCAAAATAGGTCACCATTATCAAATCTTGAATAGTCTGCAAATTCGGCTCCACCGGGAACTGTCACTAATTTTTCGTAATCAGCATACTCAGTCACCCCCTCCCCCTGTGCTAACCCCAGCCCACAGCTTAATCTGCGCAAAAAAATCGATAAAATTATTATTGATCGATGACGTGAAGTGTCTTTGACAAACACCCCGCCCCGAAGTGTATGTGTGCCAGTTTGGTCCGGATCGGTCCAGAAATGCAATTTTCATTTGGAACATACGTACACACATACTATGTATAATTCATTTATAAAATCGTGACGACGGATTTTACTGCGGACTTTGCGCCCACAGAAGCATAAAACGCTTATACAAGAAGGCAGCACCTCAATGTCCAGCTCAATCACTTTTCAAAGTCTAACAATATCATATGTAAGCAAAATAACTATGACTAGAGATGAAAACTAAGAATACGCGACCTCCTGAAGTGGCGTGCGTGTCGCGAGCGGTCGCGCCATCGTCACGATTTTTCAAATGCCTTGTACATGCATGCATATATACCTATGCACAGCAACAGACATAGTAGACATTCAGCTTTATTTATATAGATGGAATATTTGCTCCAATTCGAGGAACAAAACAATTACCAGTGTATACTTCTATCCTATGAATAATCTCATTTTGGGGTCACGTATTCAAAAATAGATTTTGCGTTTTGATGTATAGTGTATACAGGCTTCAGAGTCCTCTGAAAAATGGAACTTTCAGACTCTAGCGGATCAGTTCACTTTTTATGAAGGCTAGGTGGTTTTGACAAACTTTTGAGTATAGACTTAGCTGGAAGAATAGTCTACTTTTGTGTTCTCATCATCCAGTCTCTCTCGCCTTCCAAAATAAGGCTAATTGATTAACAGAACTGAGCGGGTGCCAAGATGAACGACAGCTGCGAATGGGTGCTGTACTCCTGCGGTTTTCAATATGTTTGCATATAACCGTCCTTTTTGGACCGACACGTTCTTCACTGGATTGGAAATAGTGTTCAAAAGTAGGGACCTTTTGGTACTACAGCATGTTGTGTGAGAACTGATAGTCATTTAAAAGCAAAATTGGTTACTGAATATCTTGTTAGACACCAGTAAGTTCACGGATTGATTTAGGAAGCGAACATCTTAGCCATCTTGTTTGCTGCCGTGGCCATCGTAATTTGCATCATTTGCTATCTCGCCATTCTCAGGTTCTTGTATAAACATCGCCTGGATGATGTGTACGTAACTTTCAATTGAACGATTGCATAACGATGCCTATAGAATTTCTTTTAGATCATTCACACGAGAAAAATATGTTTGCGTGCAAATGGCAGTCCTTTTTATCGCTTTTGCGCTTGTAGTATGTTATCATGCCATGCAGTACAGCTTTTCCCTAAATTCAGGATCAAATGTAAATTTTCTTGACTAAGCATGCAGTCGCATAAGTACAAATGAATTTTACAGATCGAGAAGTTGGTGTCGATGAGGATGATATATCCCTTGGTTAGCAGCATACTTTCGTATAGTACCCCTTGGATGATGATTCTCACGGTAAAGGAACTTCGACGCAAGCTATGTGCGATGTACGGTTTGCGGAGTAAAAAGTCTTCTGTAAGCATCTCAGGGCTTCACCTTGTGAGAAAGTACAAAAAATTTCTATCATTTTTTAGGTGTCTTCGCTTGCCGTCACTGGTACTCAGTTTTGTCAAGCATCTACTAAAGAACGAACATTGCGCATCTCAGGCTATTGATCAAGCGCTTCGCTCGACTCAATAGATTGGCTTTTGAACTTATTTTGCAGTTTTATATAAGACTCGAACCATATTCGTAGTTTCATAGTCTGTTGCCATTTTTATGTGGTGTTTTCTGTAAATTTTGCCAATCTCTTTCTCCATTGTATATATTTTCCGCTATTTTATTCCATGGGTTTGCTTGAACATATTTTGATGATCGTGTTTGCTCACGATGTCAGCGTCTTTGTAAAGATCTTGGAACTCACTTAATCTTCTATAGCTCTAGAAATGAAACACTATAGAATATTCACATATTTTTGGCTCAGTTGCGACCCATCATTGCGGACACAGCAATAAGAACTTCCTCACAAAAATTTTCTTTGACAATTAGCCAAAATTGAAGAAAGCCAGCCTAAACGCAAACTACTTCCAGGCTCAGCTTCGCTTGCCTGTTGCTTTTTGCCCTTTTTTCTGCAAAATATCGAAGGATGCCGTTGGAGTGACTACTCTGCACATTGTCCGCATGAGTAGTTCCTCTCGATGCTTCAACGGCTGAGGTTCAATCGGGAAAGTGTAAACTTATTTCACTACCAGTGCTTCACCTCTGCTTCGCAGAGGTTCGCACTGGCATCGTGAACCGTGGTAAACTCACTTTCTGAGAGCTTGTCTCTCAAATCATTGTTCGGTTTATTGCAACGTGAGCTGTAGTTAAAAATGAACCATACTCGCTATCTTAACCTCACATGATGTTTAGTATCGTAAATCATTCCTCACTGTAATTTCGTAACGGACAAACTCCACACAACTTCAGATTAGCCGCTTATTATAAGTCACCAGTGCTTCACCTCTGCTTCGCAGAGGTTCGCACTGGCATCGTGAACCGTGTAAACTCATTTTCTGAGAGCTTGTCTCTCAGATCATTGTTCAGTTTATTGCAACGTGAGCCGTAGTTAAGAATGAACCATACTCGCTATCTTAACCTCACATGATGTTAGTATCGTAAATCATTCCTCACTCTAATTTCGTAACGGACAAACTCCACACAACTTCAGATTAAGCCGCTTATTATAAGTCATGATGATTTTTAGCGCCGCTTTCTTAACAAATGCTGTTCTCTATAAAGACTATCTTAGCGTTTCAGCGCCCTTTGTTCAAAGTACTGGGGCACACAACTTTTGCAAATTCTTGGTGGACGAGTGTAATCACATTTTCCAAGCTGTCAAATCGGAAAACTTAATCGGAATGACAACAGATTAAACCATTCTCCGCCTGCATTATTGCATCAAGCTGAAAATATAGATTTCCAAAACTTCATACAGCAACTATAATTGTATAGTGGCTTGATACGGTTGATTAAGTTGCAAACGGCTTCATTTCTGTTTCTTCTACACTGTAAATCCTGATTCAAGCAGCTTCCGAAATATTGAAGTTTCCCCTCTCGAGTACTAAAAATCTGCTTCGAAGCATTTGTAGCTCACCACCAAGTCCACATCATGTCAGAGAAATGAAAGCGCCTCATGGAGAAGTGCAAAGTTATTACATTAATTGCAAAACTTAGGTGCCAACTTAATATTTGCGTGTGCAGAAAAGCAGTCTGGATATCTTGGTTGACGTTATGCACAGTCATGGTTTGTTGTATTGGTTTGAAGGGCTGACCCTAACTATGATAAGGATGAGGTGCGAGGTCCACGGAAAACAACCTTCCTGTACCCCTTCCCAAGTATTTTTATTCGACCTAGATAACCTAGGTAGCGATAAGTGTAAAGCAAAGGGCACGATGGCAACCATGCTGGAATTTTGCCGAATGACTGAGTTTTCTGAGAAAATGCGTGCACATAGTGCATTATGCATACGAAGGCAGACGCGAAGTGGTGTTCACCCGCAAACATTGATTTGGAAAATTTTGATTTCTGGCCCCTTTTCAGGAAGCTAGAACTTCCGTTCAAGTTTTAGCACGCTAACGAGAACTGGTTTAGCGGCTGTGCGAAGGAATGAGTAGAAATTCTATTCTTTCATTGATAAACCTTCAATTAATGTTGCGTAAATGAACGATATGTTTCAAGTTTGAAGAAAACATGTATCTGTTGTCTAGCGCTTCGACATTATCACTGAGGCTTCGCATTTTGCTCAGCTGGAGGTTTGTCTGGCGTCTTTGCTAAAATAAAAGTTTGAAGAGTCAACATCGACTTGTTGCTTACCTTTTGATGCGGCAGCTGGCTCCCAGTCGTAAGGATACTCAGAAAGTGCGTTGGAATCCAGAGCATCACGAAGAAGACCGCGTATAACTGCATAGTTGGGTTTGTCATAATATCTTAGGGAATCTATGTAAAACATTATATGTATGTATTCCTTTGGACAGCCAGCAAACAACTCTTTCAAGCCTGAACATTATGTGCAAGATAGCACATTATTTATCAAAGGGGCTAATGAAGGCCTACCACTTGTACGCGATTTTTCCTTAGCATTGCATATTGCAACAGTGTCTTCTAAGTTTTTCCAAGGCAATTCTCCCGACGTCAATTCTATCTGAAGTGCATTTTTAGCTGGGTAGTCCGTGGAGGTCAATGCAGGTCAATACTTATCAAAATCAAATCAAAAATTGAATTCATAGTAAGACAGTACAATTCGTAAACTGCACTGTACAGGGGACAGCTCTTTGTAACCTCTAAAAAAAATCTCTGCTGCGCAAAAAGGTGTGATGCAAGGTTGGAAAAGCAGTCAAGTTATCGTAAAAACTATACTTGCATGAGTAAAGATTTTCTTTGTGGATCACGAGCTTGAGGAATAGAATTTTAATGTATTTTGTTACATGAGTTACAGCCTTTTTAGTTCTGTCGCCGTGTTCACAAAAAGATTAGCTTAGTAATGAATACCATCCGAATGCTCTACACCATACCTTCGATAGTCTAGAGACAGGGCGTCAAAAGTGAAAGTTGTTCGAACATCTGACATCATAAATAGTGAAGGTTGTTTAAAGAAGATTAGAGAGGAGAAAATGACGTAAAACAGAGAGAAAAACAAAAGAAACTGCTGAAAACTGGGTAAAAACGCTGCAATGAAGTTTGAAATCTTTCATTTGGTGGCTTTTCAAAGTGCGAGTTTTCGCTCCAGGACCAGCAATTCGCAACACGGGGTTTTGATTTTTGATGCGTCCTTTGAATTTTTACCCCCGCATTGACGTTTCTGTTTCCTGGGACGTTGTCTAAATCGTTGCGCTTATTGTTTTGAGCAACAGTCGCCCAAGCTGAAAAAAAAATCGATGCGAAAGCACTGAAACAGAACAAGGTAAAGAAAAACGCACTTTTTACAATTTTTCGCAAAAATTTCCACAATAATCGAAGAGATAAAAACTGGGTGGTTGTCTGCATTATGAACAGAAGCAAGATTTATAGAATGCACGAAAAAACCGCGTGGAAATAGTCAAAGTAGGAGAGAAACAAGAGATTTTCGAAAACAAGGTTTTTGCCGGATTTCTCGATCAAATCAAAAAATATGGTTCTATGACGTTGTCGGCGTAAAAATAGAGATCAAGAGCTTCAATTTGATATATAGCTTGCTAAAACTGGGTTCGAAACAGCGAAGAAAAGGGTACCAGAGCCAAATGCCCCACGCCCCGCGTTTGGGGTAGCGAGATAGCGCGCGGCGCGCGGAGACGCAGACGAGCAGCGGAGACAGACCAGAGCCGAAGGGGCATTTGGCTCTGGTAGTAAATCTCCGCGGGGTCTCAACGAAACCCTGCAATATTATATATCATTTTGATCGTCATGACAAGACGAGGAGAACTGACAAAGTCTCAAGCTTTGAAAATCACTCATTTACGAGACAGACCAGCGTTTTCGTGCGCGACTCTTTGCGCGAGATTTAAGCGCAGTTTCTCGTTCTTATTTAAATACAATAGCTTTCCTAAACGTCTGAAACTCGATTTTGTTCAAATGAGAGGTCAACTGAGAAACTTTGTCCTGAATTCTGGCGAAAATTCCGTAGAAACCTTCTTTTTAACGCAAAAAGGCTATGAAAACGCAATTCTCGGTTTCGCTCAGATAAGCTAAAGATATTATTCCCTATATTTGCTTCATTAACACTCGTTCCGATATAGTCAGGATAATAACTCCGGGGCTTTGCCCCGGATGACTTCTGTTTTTTCCATGGGAAGGTTGTGTCCCCTCATAGCCCTCAAAGTGAAGGTTACCAGAGTACATGGCTCTATGTATCGAGGGTATGCTCTACACTTCCAAGCAAAGTGTAAATTTTTGACTTTTGACAATTTTGGATTTTTGACCAAAGGATTGTCGTTGATTGAAACTGTGGATGACATAAGATTCGGAGTTGCTATAGGTGATGAGGAACCACCTTTGTATACTACAAAGTTGACGAAGAGAAATGTGGTTATTGTGCTTTCATCTTTTATATTTTTGCAACCATTTTGTACAGTTCATGCATTAAAAAAAGGTGTCCCAAAATAATTTGCCCACTGTTTGATCGTTGGTAACTCTCTTGCTTTGCTGTCTTTCGTCAAACTTTGAGTACTGTGTAAAGCTAGCTTGAACTTAGATTCAAAGTGTGAAGCAAATCGCCGTTCTCTCTTTATCATTACTGTAGACGGTAGCAAACGACAAGGATTTTAGGCCATTGAGGGCCATATTTTCAGATAGAAGCCAAGTAAGCCACAAACTCATAGGTTAGGCTAGTCAAAGTCGCTGTTTTAACTAAAAAAATTTACTTAAGACTATAAAATGTACTCCACTTTACTATGATACTTCTATCCCAACTTATTCCAGTAAACCGTACTGTTTTTCCAGCATTTGTCAAGAATGTGACACCGTCAAAAAAGCAGAAAACTCTCGCAAAAAGTTGCGCACTGAAATCAGCATGCGTGAAAAGACTAGTGCAAAATTCTGCAGATTTCTGAAAAAAAATGCTTTGCCAGGCGACCTACTTCACAGTGGTTGCATAGCTGGAAGTTCTTATCGTAATCCTACGGTAACGAAGATAGATCTGCGAAAGGCATCGAAATAAAAAACTTACTAACAATTAAACAGTGTCCACATTATTTTGTACACTGTATACGGGAACAGACCCAATAACACCATCAAATAAGGTCCAGAAGATTTTTAGCTCAAGTCCATTTTTCAAAAATGAGTGACCGAGCCTGCTTGCAACAACAAGGTCTTTTTTTTGAAAATCAGGAACTTGTTCTGAATGAAATTGCTCTCTCGAAAGATATAGGCATCTGCCTTGCAGCAGTAGCTAAGTAGGAAGCGGTATTGAAAATAGAACACCATGCTCTTTTAGAAGAACCCAGCTTCTTGTATACTTGTTTTTTCAATAGAAAGAGTGAACTTGTGAAGAAATAGTAAAGAGGCTGCTTGAAATAAATGACATCAGTTTTATCGCATTTTAAAGTGGATGTTGGTTAAATCGCGAACCTGCTGATAAAGCCAGCTTTCTAGATCGTCCTTTCGGGCCATCTCTCTTGATATGTGACAACTTATAGCTGCGTAACTAGAGCATTTTTTCGTTGATTCAAAATATCCGGGAAAAAAATAAGTCTCAGTTTCACCGCTGTGTTCCTCGAAAGCCTGATGCCCAACGTGGTCTTCTAACAGCATTCTCGCTATCTATGTAACGTCGACACATTCCGAAATCCAGAAGATATATCTTTCGCACATTATCTACACATATGCAAAAATTTGCAGGCTTTAAATCTCTATGCAAGTATCTAAAACTCAATATTTTTATCAAAAAAATGCTTTATCTCCTTACTCACCCAACATTGTGCAGCTCTTGAACTGCTTCTAAGCACTGTATTCCAACGGATATTGCACATCCCATCGAAAACGCTTTCTCTTTTATCTTATTAGTTTTCCGCAATTCCTGACAATTCCCAATTTAGCGTTTTTTTGTCTCCCTTTTAGAATCAACAAACCAACTCGGAGGTAATCTGCATTAGTCGCGAAAATTTTGTTCGTTTTCAAATCATATTCGCCTAATAGAAATCAAAATGGCTTTGATACACCTTCGATGCATCTTATTCCTCCCTTTCTAAAGATTACACTTTCTAATTATGATCTTCTGACTTTATTTGTGTTTGCCAAAATTCTCCATCATTCAAATCCCAAAGTAGGCTGAATTCAAAAATTCTCTGGACCTTTGGAGAAAAGTAGGTAAACTACAAATACGGCAAAATCTCGGGTCCTGTTGGAGCCTTATACAATCATTTCTCTGGTGATGTCGACTTTTAGTCAGCCCTATAACGTGCAACTACAGCAAAAACAATAAGCTTCCAAAGCTTCTGTGAAATGAAGGATTCTCATCAAACATCGTTTATATTAGGTCGTTTCAAAAGTAATTTCGCTTTTTTTCAAACGGCAACCACATGTGACGGAACAAAGGTTTTTGAGAGGTCTTGGAGGCATTCGATGCAGAATTTTATTCTCTTTCTAAAGGTCATGGAACTGTTGCAAAACAGTCATTGAGCTTTCAGAAAATAACCAAAATCTACTACCCATGCTTTTTGAGATGGTCAAGTTTCACGATTTTTTAAAACTTTCATATCAATCCTCAGAAGGACTTAAGGTAACGATCCGATAGAGCAAACCTTATAGAATACAGTACTGCTTTTTTCTCCTTTCCGTAGTTCATCATACTTAACAGAATTTTAACTGATGCTAACGATTTCCATACTTAGGCAGCTAAATCTTCGTAGAACATCAAAAGAAGAGCAGCTCGCGCACTGTTCAATGCAGCATTTTCTCCTCTTTCTAACAGGGTTTTTTGTTTCAGATTCGTTTAGTTTCCAGGGAGAAATCAGCATAATTCATTTTTTTGGCGAGCCCCAGGCTGTACCCGAAAAACTCGAAATTTGATATTTCGAACCCGTAAGCCCTCACTTGCTTTGTAAACTTAATGATAACTCGCAGTACCATCTTGGTAGTCTCAAATTCCGAAAAATTATGATGTTTGATGTGATTGTGGCTGAGGTGGGCCTGCCAAAATCCAATGGTTCTGTTTAAAAATCTTTTGAAAAATTACGGCGAGTTACAAGAAAGAGAAAAAAGTAGTACTGTATTTTGTAAGGTTTACTCTATCGAATCGTTACTTGAACTTCTTCTGAGGATTGACATGAAAGTTTTAAAAAATCGTGAAACTTGACTATCTCAAAAAGCATAGGTCGCAGATTTTGGTTATTTTCTGAAAGCTCATTGACTGTTCTGCAACATTTTCATGACCATTAAAAAGAGAATGAAATGCTGCATCGAATGCCTCCAGGAACTCTTAGGAATCATTATTGCATCAAATGTGGCGCCCGTTTGAAAAAAGCGAAATTACTTTTGAAACGACCTAATACAAAATGATTGAGTTTGATTTCCATCGAAGAATCACATTTTTGGATGCTCGGCACTCCTACGTGCTACATTCACAAAGCTGGGGGTTTTTAAGGAATTAACAACCTCCAGACTACATTCAGGCGGTCTTGAATAAGTAAAAAGGGTATACTTCATGTAAGAAGTAACACTTGACTAAGTGTGATTTTCCAACATATAACAGTTAAAAGGTTTTTCACAATGCTATTTTAAAATTTTTCAGTATTACGGGGAGTTCAAAGTCACTATCAAACTGCTTAAAGAACCATGTTACATAGCAAAACTGCACAGAACAAAAGGAAAGTACAGCTTCAAAGAATACAAATCTGAACAGAATCATATTCATGAATTTGGATGAAAGATTAGAAATAGTATTAGAATGATTAAGAATAATGCAAGTTTCTTATGATTGGGCACAAGGTTGTTTATAGAAATCCAGAGTAGGTAACGATGCAAAGCAAATAGCAAAAACAAAAAAACTCATGAAAACCGGATAAAAACGCTGCAGTGAACCTGAATTCTTTCGTTTGGAACTGAAGGCTTTCACTCTAAGATAGGCAATTCACAAGACGGGAAAAACCAGGAAAAGCCAATTTCTTCGCAGTGATTTTTCAAAAACATCCAGTTTCCGAAGTGGTCAAGAAAGAATGTAAACAAGAAACGAATCGGTCTCAAAAACGCAATTTTGCTTTTACTGAGTCGAAATGCATGTCAACAATCTAGTTTCTGATGAGTTCTTTGTATTTTTATCCTTGCATTGTCGTTTCTGTTTTTTGGGACATTGTCTACATCGATGCGTTCATTATTCTGAGCAATAATTGCAAGTTGAGAAAAAATCGCTGCGAAGGGGACAAGATAAAGAAAAACGCACTTTCTACGATTTTGCACAATAAATCCTCCATAATCCTCGAACAAGTAATCTCTTCGACGTTGTCTACGTCATAGGCAGAAACAAGATCTAGCGAATGCACGAGAAAACTGCGCGAAAAGAGGTGATTAGAGAAAAAATAAGAATTTTTTTGAAAACACGGTTTTTGCCGTATTTTTCGTTCAAATCAAATGATTTGATTTTGCGGCCTCGTCATCCTGATGAGACTACTTTGATATAATATACAGTTTCCTAGAACTGGGCTCAAAAACGAATAAAAGTACCAGAGACATACCCTTGATGAACAAAACCATGCACTGGGGTAACCTTCACTTTGGATGGCATAAGAGAGCACAACCTTCACCAGAAAAGAACAGAAGTCATTCGGGAAAAGCTCCGGATGTTATGATCAAGCCATGATTAAGTCCAGAACAACGAAGAAAAGGGTACCAGAGCCAAATGCATTGTGCCCTGCATGTGGGGTAGTGAAGTAGCGCGCAACGCGAGGAGACGCAGACGAGCAGAGGAGAAAGAACAGAGCCGATCGAGCATATGGCTCAGTCGTTGACTTCTGCGGCAATGTCGGCCGGAGGATCTCCGTCCGGGGCGGCAAAAAAATTTTGATGAAGCTGCGTGGCGTTAACCACGCACTTCGAAAAAATTTTTGGGGTGCATCTCAACATTTTTGCTGGTTCATAACCTCTAAAATCCAAAAAGGGGGCGTAGCGTCAGCCACGCCCCGAGAAAATGTTTACAAGGCTAATTTGAATCAGATCTCCGCGGAGTCTGTAACGTCGTTAGTTTGTATCGTTGTGATCCTTATGACACGGCTAGGAGTGCTGATAACGTCGCGGATTTTGAAAATGACTCCATAACGAGATAAACCAAAATTTTCGTGCGCGACTTTCTGCGCAAGAATTAAGCGCAGTTCCTCGTTTTTATTGCATTTCAACGGTCAATCATCATGACTTATAATAAAGCGCTAAATGTCTGTCTTTTTGTGCGTGTGTGTTTGTCTGTCTGTCACGATCTTCATAGAGGGAGCTGCAGCCAATCTATCGAGCTACATTTTGCATAGCATACCGTACCAGCATGTGGGCCCATCATGCACAAGGATGAGCCGGTTCGATGAGCGGGTCCTTCAAAATTTGCGCCTCAAACGGGTCCACCTGGCTTTTGGCGCGCAAAACAGTCTACAAATTCAACTTTTTGCGAAGTCCTGATTGCCTGACGAGCAAATCTGCGCTCCAAGAATTCTAGCTCGAAAAGTGCTCAAAAAGTTTGCTTTTCAGCGAAAACAGCGCCAAATAAGTGATCGCTTAGAGAGTCGATTTGGTAAGGTTTTACCTGAAAATCTGAGAAGATTTTTGCACGGAATAGTAGCCCAAAATGACTATTATCTTTATAACAATTATCAAGCCAAAATAAATTCAATAATCTATTCGAATTCGTATTTATTCCTTGGCAAAAAAGTTTTCTTTCTCAAATTTACCGATCTCACATGGAGATGCTTCAAAAATGAACAGTTGCTTATTCATTTACCAGTGCGTCACCTCTGCTTCGCAGAGGCTCGCACTGGCCCTATTTTCTGTATGCCTTACTCATTCCCGCATAATAATGACATTGAAACTCACCGCGCTATGTAGGCTATCACGAATAATTCGTAAACAACTACTCATTCGTAGAGGTTTTCCATGTGAGATCGGTATTTTCGCGTGGATAAAATCTATCCCAGAAAACAGATGCCAATTCGAATAGGTTTTTGGAACTTTTATGGCTTGGTAGTCGCCGTAAGGACAATAAACATAGTAGGCTACATCGCTGTGCAAAAATCTTCTCAAATTAGAATCTTAAAAAATTGACTGTTTACACAGCAAATGCTTTTTGGCGCTGTTTTCGTAAAATAGTAGACTTTTCATTACTTTTTTAGGCTAACGTCCATGGCTTGCACATTAGCTTGTCAAATATGTCCTTAACTCTGCAAAAAGTAGTACTACGGACCCAAATTTGCTGGCCAAAAGGCAAGTGGATCCATGTGACGCGCAATTTTCAATGGATCCACTCAACGGATCCGCTCAAGCTTTTGTATAGTAAGCCTTCATGCTGGTAGCGTGCGCTGTGCAAAACTTGGGCTCAGGACGTTGGCTGGAACACGCTCTACGAATTTCGTGACAGACAGAGATTCACACACACACAGACAAACGTAAACAACCCTTAGCCCGTTATTATATACCAGTGCGTCACCTCCGCGAAGCGGAGGTTCGCACTGGCTCCTTATCCATATGCCTTTCTCATGTTCGCATGAGAATGGCTTTGAAACTCACCACGCGATGCTGAGCATCACAAATTAATCGTAAACAACTGTTCATTCTTGAAGCATCTCCATGTAAGATCGGTAATTTTTAGGAAAAAAACTTTGTTGCAAGGAAACAAATGCAAATTTGAAAGGATTACTCGATTTATTCTAGTTTGATCATCGTCATAAGGATAATAGTCACCTAGGGCTACATTTCGGTGCAAAAATCTTTTCAGTTTTTCAAATAAAACCTTGCCAAAGCGACTATCTACGCGCTCATCTTTTTGGCGCTGTTTTCGCAGAAAAGCAAACTTTTTAAGCACTTTTTGGGCTAGAATTCATGGCGCACGAGTTACTTGTCAGGCAAATCATAACTCTGCAAAAAGTCGGATTAGCGACCCAGTTTTGCGTGCCAAAGGCGCGTGGACCCGTTTGACGCGCAAATTTTGAGGGACCCGCTTATTGAACCGGCTCGTCCTTGTGCATGGTGGGCCTACACGCTGGCACGGTATGCTATGCAAAATTGCAGCCCGATAGCTTAGTTGCAGCTTCCTCTATGAATTTCGTGACAGACAGATTTTCACACAGACACACAGACAGACACACAAAAAAACAGACGGCCTTAGCGCGTTATTATAGTAGGATGATGTACAGCCTCGCGCGGTGAGTTTAAACTCATCATTTTGGGAGCATGAATAAGGCATACGGATAGCAGAGCCAGTGCGAACCTCGGAGTGGAGGTGACGCTGGTTCTTTATAACATTCTTTTTTTTGGTGAAGGATTGTGTTTGTGTCGCTCAAAATGAAGGTCACTAGAGTACACTTTATGTATCGTGTGTATGGTTCTAGTTCAAAAGAATGTTTTTGGAAATTGGGTCTTTGGCAAAATCCTGCTTTAGCATGTCAGTCAGTAAAAGTCAGTCGTACAAAAGCTTGTTCCAAGCCGACAATCCTTGAAAATCACGCAACAATATATTATCCATCAGATTTACTACGCATTATTGTACTAATTAGAATTTGGGCATGAAGATAATACCACGTCGAAAACCATAAGGTAATATGCAGCAGAATATGTCACAGTTCAAAATGTCATTCATAAAATGCATCACTCCTCCTGCTATTATATCCAACTTTGGACCCAGAAGTGGTATTTATACCACAAGGCCTTCATTATTTTCTACTTTTTCTGCCATTATAATTAATGTGGTACAGCCTGATTCCACACGAAGTTGAATGTCCTTAGCGGAGTTCACGCGAGCGTGGCGCCCTAGTAGAGGAGGTCGGTTTTGAGCCTTCATCTTTTGGGCACCAACGATGTTTGGCCGCCAAATTAGAGTATTCACAAAATTCTGTGACGCTTACCATAAGTGATGTACCAACTAAGGTCATTATAATGAAATTGAATCCGAGAGCACGACCAGAGTCCAGTATGTCACAGCAATGAGTTGCTCGAGCCTTCTTCAATGCACTGAAGCTGAATGAAGACTAACAAAAAGCAAACTTTGATTTCAATCTAAATTTGCGGATTTTCCCAGTTTGTCTTTATACTTTTTGAATCTTATTCTGCTTGAAATCTGCAGGCTATCTCTCCTGCTAAGATGTTGATCCTTGGGAACTACTGATGAGAGGCACCAAGGAACTTGCACTTCCGGTTTACTTCTTGGCCCGAAACCGGATATTGTTGAAACCAGATACAAAGATTGTCGTTAAGATCTTTTTGGTGACTATACAGGGTGTCCCAAAAGTTAGTACACTCTTTTCAAATGTTTATCTCTCTTCCTATTGTGTCTTTTCCCCCATTCAAGCACCAATCTGTAGAGGAGGCTTCAAATTTGTATTGCGGTATCAAGCAAACCACCGATCGCTCTTCGTTACTGTAGGATTATGCGGGAATTTCGACAAGGATTTTAGGCCATTGGAAGCCATATTCTGCTTCGGAACAAGACAAACAAGCCAAAAACTCTTACACCATGGTAATAGAAGCCGCTGATTTCAAATTTGAAATTCCATTTTACTATGATGCTTCTTTCCTAAGTTATTCTCGGTAAATCGTAATAGCCGAATTCCAAGTACTTGTCAGAAAGGTGACTACACCGTCAAAAAAGCTGAAAACACTCGTGAAATGTTTTGTAGTGTAATCAGCGCGCGCGAGAACCGTAGTACACGCTTTTTAGATTTTTTAAAAATAAATTTTGCTAGATGGCATATTTCACATTGGTTTCACATGCTGGAAGTTCTTACGGTAATCCTACAGTAACGAAGAGCGATTAGTGATTCGCTCGATACTGTAAATCTAAGTTGAGCCTCTCCTCTACACAGTGGTACTGGCTGGCAAAAAAGACCCATTGAAAAGAGAGGTATTGACGATTGAAAAGTGTGTACTTACTTCTGGGACACCCTGTGTACTCACTCTCACATGTTTGCTTAAAGCTAGAAATTTAGGTTTGCTCTGTTCTTACCGTAGTACTACAACTTCCATTTTCAGCACTTTTGTAGGTGCATTGACTCTTTCTGTTTTGAGTGCGTAAATCGGATGTTTAGGTGACGTTGTGTCGCTAACCTGTAAGAAATCCTTAAGCTACCCAAATGCTAATTTTGTTTACTTATGTAGGAAAAACACTTCAGGTAGGAGCCGTAAGGTTACCATAAAGCTGGTGTCAAAGCTCATGCTCTTTCTTTCTTTCTTTCTTTCTCTCTCTCAAAAAGTCGAAAATCCGCGAAAAAACCGATTCCGCGAAAAAACCGACCCCGTTCCGGAGAACCCACAGGTCGACTTTACGGAACGTGATTGGACGGGCGCGCACAGATGGGCGGACATGGATGGGGAGGGCGGTGCCGTCTAGAGGCTCTCGTGTCTCTTCGTTATTCCCGAGCGATTTTCTCGCTTCCGAAGCGGCATTCTGCGCCGCGACTAGGCCATTGGCTTGGTAGGGTCCTACTATCATATGCCAAAGCTCAAGACCCTCAACTTAGGGTGGACGGTTCCTTTAATGTACAGACATTTGAACGGCTCCCAAGCAAACAGATCATAGGGAACGAACTTCTGATAACATAAGGTCTTCCACAAGAAAATCTTGCCATGATGAAGTGAACAACGGCTTATCGCGACAGTATCGATGTTGATATCGGTTATAACAGTACTTTCTTGCGGCCCTTAGTACCAAATCACTTGCTACAAAGACAAATATACTTCCTAGAGCAATAATTTTGAAGAAGCTATGCTGTTTACAATCTCGTTTCTGTTAGTGGCCTTTGTTCCCGCTATGAAAAAAGCTCAAAAGTGGCTTCCCCATTGCGGCCGCTGTCAAGAGCTGGCTTGTGCAAGTCAAATCAGTAGAACAAGATGAATTGTGCTATGTATTCTGCTCGATAATTGGTAAACTCTCTTCACTCATCAACTATTCTGTCAATGAGAAAGATTTGGAAAGTGCAGCACCTTATAGACAGCTCCAAATCCACCTTCTCCAAGCTTTTCCTCTATTTTCCAATTCGCAATAATATCATTGACAATTAACGTTGGTAACCCAGGAACGGTTTCTGCAAATACAAATCTATGAAGTCCATTAAGGCCCCGGTCAGACTTTACGCGACTTAATCGTCGCGATGTAATCGCCAAGATTTCCATTCATTTTCATTTCACATTCAAAAATTTCGGGCTGGAAAAGTATCACAACCGAATGCAAGTTGATCGGCATGGAATGATGTTGTAACAGTTGTCTCGTCGCGATTCAGTCGCGACGACCAAATCGCGTGAAGTCTGCCCGGGGCCTAATGCGACGATTCGCCACAAGGCACATACGAGCAGCCATGATGGAGTGCGATTCCTCGAGCAAGTTGACTAAAAATGATCCTGATGCCAAAGCAGATATTTCTTTACGACATGATGTTATCAAATATTGTTTATCATCTACCACTCATTTTGGTGTTAGCAGAGAGGAGGCGGTGGTAGAACTTGCTAAAGCGATATACTTTTCTTTTTCGGTTTCCTAAGCATTTATTCTAAGGCTTCCGGTTTGACGGCGTAAAAGCAATAACAACTGAGCTTCCATTATAACTTTTTGCAGAGATAAAAGTAGAAGAAAACTACTTAGGCTCTGGTCATTTTCAGTAAAGTCGCCAAAAATTTGGGACCTCCAGAAAAATCTGCGGATTGTCACTACATAGGTCAATGATGTATATGCAACCGAAAAAGTTTGCGCAGTCTGGAAATTTCTGCGTTGCGAATTTCGAGTTACAACGCAAGAATTCACTAATTTGTCATTTTTTTCGAAATAGCTTCTCAAAATGAAGTCCAAGCAGAGATTTTTTTTAGATGCAAGGATTAGGTCTTAAAACTTATGTAGTAACTTCAGTTTTTTCGCAACGTTTCACAGTTTTGGCGATTTAACTCAAGTGATCAAAGCCTAAATGGCCTTCATTTTCCATTTTATCTTCACAAATATGTATTAGGGTGGGCGGTAAAAAATGGAGCAGCTTGATTTTTATTACATTTTGAGGTATTTTGTTCTCACCAAAAACAAGCAGGCTGCAACTCAAACGTCACTTGCATAACGATACTCGCCTATTATTCTGGCAACGGTTACCGCTCCTCTTTCATGACCGTACGCGTGGCGCCGTGAAGAACTCAGACAGGGTTTTTGGAACAATTCTCAATTTTGCGCTGCTATACCGTAAAGTCGTAAAGCAAATGACATACCATTCGTAAGAGCTCTTTATGCTCTTGCAAACGATATGTTAAATGCATGAGATTCTTTTCAATTTCAGAAAAAAAGCGAAAAAACCTGAAAAATATCTATTTTTGGCATAATAAAAAACCAGAAAATTATTTTTTGCTCTATATTTTTCAAAGATAGATAAAATCTGAGATAGGCTGCATATGGAAATAGAGCTTAGAAAGCTCTATTAGATAGTACCTAGAAAACATGAGTTCACCTGCAAAGAATTGAAATGGCCATATCACCTGACTTTGAAAGTTGAGGCCACCAAGCCGTCGTGAGTTTGGTGACTGTCCTACCACTCACTCCAGCAGTGGTACCTTTGGGTGGTCTCACATGTTTCACTGCGCAGATAATGCTCAAATTTCATAATTTATCGAAGTGACTAACTTTGCATTTCAGCTAGCATAAAAATTATTAATTACGTAAATGACCTTATATAGGTATTGTTTGAAAGAGAATAACATATTCTAGCATCTATCAAAATTGGAGAGTTTAATCACTACTCTTTCTTGAGAAACCTCCAGTTATTTTGTAAGTGCCCCATTTTCTACCGTTCACCCTAATAGTTGAAGCTCATATCATCACAAAAAGGAAAATTCTTCTTTCAGCAAAATTACAAAGCAAATCCATCTAAAAGCGGAAAGATATAAATTTTAAAAAATGGAACAGCAGACTTCTAACATCGAGGATCCGATATTTACCATGAACGGCTATGAGACAATTAGCTCCTTTGGGTCAACTCATCATACTCTCGCGTACTACTGTTATTTCTAGCAAAGGCTACATGCGCCTTCGATTTTCTTTTTTCCCTAGTCATTACCTGTTGCTCCTAGAGTGAATAGCCGCCCATGGCGAGAGTTTTGAACATTTTGTTTCCAACGATCGTTACTGAGCTTACTGAAGCGGTCTAATTGCTCCTGAGGATTTTTCAAAACTTATTTTGCGAAAGTGGAACTTGTTTAATGCAATCAAAACGTTAAAAATTGATGTCTGCACGTTACGGCATTTTTTAGAATTGTGGATTCCAATTTTCAGAACAAAGAACCTCAAATTTCATGTTCACGACATGTAGACAGGATCTAAGGGTCTACCCATCGGCGCCATCGCAGCGGTGGTGCGCATAACGCCCGCTTTTGGGGTGGAAGTTTGTTTTGCAGCCAATAGTTGGCATTTTTCAAGATGATGGGCGAAAGATTGGAAGGAATGACAGTTTAACAGGTCGTGATTCATAATGCCAAATATGGGACACGATACAGTCATGTCTACGCAGCTTTATCGGAACTGTGGAATTGTAACTGTGCGCCATCTCTGCGCAGATTGATGTTGCAACCAAGAAAACACTCGCAAAAAAAGTTCAAGAATTATTGTCTTTACTGCATAATGCGGATGTTATGGATTTTTAAAAGCTTTTGATTTTTCTTCAATTTTTGACAGTTTTTGAAACGCTAAAAGCAGCGGAGGGCCGCTGTGGGAGAACCAGTGTCAAGCTACATTCCAAAAAAAAAGTGAAAGCACAAGTATACGAAGAGGAAAAAATCAACGAAAGTTGAAATTTGAATGTGTTTACAAAACTGTCGTACGCTTGTTGCTCACCTACGCATTTTGGCATCCCTCAAGCTGATGGGTAGACTCTGCTATGCCCTGAGCATGACGCAAATTTGGATAAAGGTTTTGATTTTCTAGAAATAGAAGTGTAACACAAATTATCACCTAATACATATACATAAAGATCCGAGAAATGGGCACCTGCAATTGCACAGAAGTGGTACGCTTGGTTCGCAGTAAACTCAATGAAATGTGAATGGCTCAGTTATGTATAAATGGGCTTTAGGCTGTGCCACAACAATATTACTCTCCTTCCATATTCTTGCGCATGAAGCCTATGTCGTACTGATATCTCACTGCCATATTCGTAAAATAGTGCGTGATAATCCACTTGGGTATAAACAATTGTTTGAAAACAAGTTTTTCTTTTCGAAAACCTGCATCATCTAAAATAATCAGAGTGCTTTATCACATCTGAGTTTGATATTGGCAACGAATTTTGTGAGCGAATTATACATTATCAATATTTGAAAAGTAAGGATACATAGCACCGTTCAAACAACCATAGCTATAATTATGCATGTTAGACCATTTTGAGTACTCTACTTCATGGCAATTAAATATGTGAAAACATGTCGTAAACGAACATCACCGCAGTCACTTCCTTCAGACTGCCTGCACAATTACCTGTTTTCACCATCCCATACTCACTTTTTAGTCATAAAACACATAATCATACACCAAGGTGATTAGTGTATGCGATAACAATATTCGGGTGCCGGATTTGCACGCGAATGTGCAAGGCAATGTTAAGGGCTGAATTTTGCCTTGTAAGTGGTTTTCTCACTGCTTGTTTATCCAGCGAAAGTTTCGCTTTATTAATATAATGTAACGAGAGAAAATATTAAAGAACCTTTATCTCAAAACATCTACAAATCGCTACGTGCTCCGTACCCCCCCCCCCCTCCCCTCCCCCATAGTTTCATTACTTAGAGATGCGTTAAACTTTTCACTCTTTTGTTCTTTGAGATTACCACTTAGAATAGTGAATGCTATAATCAATTTCTCGAAGTCTATATGGGCGGGCTTGTTGACTGCCGTATGTAATGCTAATGGGATTTGATTAGAGACTCCCTTAACACAATTCGCAACCCTACTAGTCATAACCCTAAAACTTGATATGCAATACGATCTAACGGTAGGACATACAATGCGCATTTTCCAATCTCGAACCTTCTGAAATAGAGCCACTTGGTTTTTTTAGAGCGCGTATCACACAATGATGGTGTTTTGGTCGCAAATAGTCTTTATCACAGTGACAACCATTTCTCTCCCTCTATATCTACTTATTATCATAGTCTGCATGAAAGAATGGCGACAAAACACCTTTTACCTTCTGTTCATATCGCAGGTAGAGAGATTTTGGTTTTTTTCATGTGATCAAGTCATCGTCCATCTAGGGTGCAATTGATATTCTTGTAATCATTAGCTATTTGCTATTTGGGACTCTTCGCGCATCTGGCCTTGCTAGCGATCTCTTTTGGGATGATCAGCCATCATATTTAGCAGAATGGTGTTTTATTCAACTCTATATATCCATGATTATTCGTTGCTTTGGGATACTAATAATATCGCTGCAAAGATATATTTCTTTATGCAAGAATGGCACGAGAGTTGAACAGGTAGTTAAATTAGCATCCTCTCATTATTTCGAGATGAGTTGCATTTAGCTCATAAATACGAGTCGACGGTGGATCTTGCCATTAATTCAATGGATTGTACCGATCATTTACTCAATTCCACTTCTAACTAACAAAGATGTTAGGTTTTTGTCCGAGGAACACCTTGAAGTAATTGTAAAAAAAGAAGTTATTACGGTAAGTTGCAGTATCTGGCATTTGCAATATCCAACAAGCATTTATCACAGACTGAGCTATGTTGCCAAAACTTTTAATTTTTACCTATCAGACGCTCGCACCATTTTTGAAAATCGTAACTTTGTATTGTTCTAATAATTTCGCAAGTGTTAGTTTTACCAAAAGAGTTAGATACTTTCTTACAACATTTTAAAACTTTCTATCAAGCTGCAAAGACATTGATTGCAGAGACAAAGACCGGAAATGAAGATCACCCGAGTTTCATATTTCATGCAGGCCCGCAAATAACTAGAATCTTAAGTTTTGGATAATCTTCTTTCTAGCGAGCAGGCTTGTGCAATCGAGCTTGTTTGTGATCTATTGTAATTCCCAAGGGGAATGACAAAAAACTGATTTTGCCGTTTTGTAGAGTTTTCTTAACCACAACTTTGCACGGGAAGCTCGGTTAGCACAAGCTTTGCTCAATTAGAAAAAAAAATGTCATAGTACTTATGATAACAACTGTGAGCTTTGCGAAATAGTTTTAAGTTTTACTGACGCTCAAAACAGCAGAAACTCAAGTAAATTATTTTTTCCATTTTCATCTCTACAATCCGAACGTAGCAGAAAACCATGTTGGTTGAAAGCTACATAATTTTGCTCATATTGGAAAAGTCGGTATTAAACAAAGCTGTTGATAGAAAGAGTTACGGTTTTCAAACATGAAGTGAATGCTTTGGTCCAAATCGATATTTGGCTTTCTTTACGTCGAAAAATAGGTCATAAGAAGTGTGTGTATGAGTCGTTCATCGGAATCTCCGTCGCATGCACAGTCAAAATCTGGTCATCGTAAGTCACAAGTCACATAAGCTTCCAAATCTGTTTTTCGATCAATTATCTCAGATTGTGAGCAGCGATTGCCTCAATTTTGGGAAACTTCTTATCTGTCTAAGAAATTTAGGTTGTTGTTGAGTTAATATTTACCTTTGCTGGCAATTTTACACCCTCCACACTTTATGTAGAAGTAGCTAATATCCAACAAGATCAATGACATCGTTGTATCAGTGTCAGAGAAAATGAAGTGATGTTTTTGACGGTGCATTGTTGTAGATGCGCAGTTGTAATGGAAGTTCAATTCTTTATAAATAGTTTACGTGCAGTCCAATTAATGAGCGAAGAGACAACGATCGACATCATTAATTCATATCAAAGTATATTGGTCGATATTAATGGGGATGATAGTGGCCTTCTTCATACTGATACATATTAGATTATGCGCCTCATGACCTAAGATAAATATAGGCACACTTTCATCGTAGTAGTCTATTTTAATCTTCTTTGAACTTTAACCTAAATTTTAGTCCTTTGCAGGAAGCTATACATCACTGTAATGCATTTCCTGCCAACCCATAGATCGTAATCTCATCCTCCACTTTGATAACTCATAAGGGAGAGGGAGGGGGGGGGGGGGAAGTGATTCGTTGTGTGCCGTGCTATTATTTGCTGATAGCTAGAAATTGAACGTGAATATTAACAGAAAAATGATAGCAGCAAATTACGCTCATAAAATTGGAAGAACTATAATAACTATTATAAATTACACAACTCCTTTTATGTTTGGAAATAGACAAACACCAAAATCTGACTATTACTCATTAATTTATAAAAAACGCACCATCTCCACTCTGAAATATTGGCCTGTTACTAATTAATGCATGCTTTTCCTACCTCTACTTTCGAACATTAATCTTAAAGTAAAACCGTTTTTCTTATTTTTTTTTCACTATCTAAAGCCCGCTTCTCTGGCTTATCGCTTCTCGACTCAAGATTTTTCAAAAATTTAGCATTGGTGCACGTAGCTTTTGTAGCAAATTTCGCAATTATGATACATATTCTGAAACAAAAGTTTCACACCTGAAAATAAGGAAAACGAAAAACAGGCTGTGGCAAAGTCCACAGTTTATGCTTTATATTGCGTTTTGCTCCATAATTAGAGAAAAAAGACATCCCCGCTTTTGATCGTGGTACAATGTGCGATTGAAAATGCACAGTAAAAAGGATTAGCGATTTATATCTTGTCCAGAACAAACGGAACGAAACTCTGCCTTTGCAAGAACTGGTTGCTTCTCATTAGCTTAGTATACCGTCCAAGTACTAGAGTGCACATGTCTTTGGCCATTTAGTTCCTCAGATTATCATTCATAGATTTCTCTTTGATAGGTGTACAGGTTCAAAATGCTTACCTTATGAAATCAATTTCAGCTTGCCACCTCAATGACGTTATGCTTTGTATTAATATCCTTCCTGCTATGTTGTTTTTGTTATGGTGCAGTGTTGAAGTTTTTACTCAATAACAGATACAATAAGAACTTGTGGGTGTCTCAAGCGATATTCGATTTGATTAAAGTAATGTTCAAAAGAGAAAGTTGGTATTAATGGCTGGAAGATTGCCTTAAACACATGACATTACCTCTAACATGCAAAGATGTTTAGTCGAATTGGTTTTTTTAGATGGATGGGTACAAGGTACTAGATATTGAAGAGTGTAAAACGTTGATTCAAAGCTGCTTTTCTTATCTGCGGGACTTTTGTGAACCAGGAGTTACGAGCGTTCACTGGAGCAAAAAATCAAAAGTGCATTCAAAATAAAATGAGTTGCTAATCTTACTAGCTGTAAAGTAAAAAAATGAGTATAATATATTTCATATTTTGATAAAGTGCTCTGACAATTACAGCTGCTCCATAAAGGCGCTAGAAAAATATTACGGCTACTTTTACTGCTTGCACATTCAATCTTTTGTTCCAATAAGCGCTCATAACTTCCGGTTCGTAAATGTTCCGCAGATTAGGAAGGCAGATTTGGAATCAGCGTTTTATGCGCGCCATTATGATGTACCCTCCAAAAAAAGGCCATTCAACCAGACATGCTTCCCTTTCAATTTAGCTCCTTTGCTGTGATCATTCAATTTTCGGCCATCAAGCTTTTTGTTCTACATAAGCCAAAGCAAAAAAATTCAAGTTATGAACGCATTCTCTAGAGTAGTCTCTAATGACAAGTTGATTGAAACTCTTCTTCACTCTTTAGGTCTGTCAAAAGAGAAACTCGTCTGTATATGCAAATGCTCGGCTTATTTTTTGCATTTATGCTCTGTGTTATCTACAACACTATGCAGTTTTTCTTCTCCCTACAAAGTAATGTGAGTGATTTTGCTTTTGAATAATGAAAGATGTGGCTACCGGATAGCGTTGCTACCGCAACTGAACATCTGTAAACGCGAATTTTGTTGACCAATTTGAAGTTTACACTAGTGAATGCATATTCAGCCACAATTAATAGTCTGAATATGAATTTTTTTGTGAGTTACCTTATCAAACTGTTAATATTCGCTTTCTCCAAATGGGCTAGAAAGCAAATGTTGGTACTCAAGGTAGTGTTCGCTTTCTCCAAATGGACTAAAAAGCAGACGTTGCACTCACCTCGCATACTCACTGTAGTAACTCTGTCATCTGCATTTTTACTAGAAAACATTATAAAAGAAGTACTGGTGTATTCCAAACGGGTTTTTCTTTAATGAACTTCAGAGCTTTTTTGAACATCCTTAGAACCACTAGAAAGTTGCATTTGACATCAACTCATCATAAAGATTTAGGATGGGCCAGTTTTTACTATGAGAGTCGTATTTCCTCTCGTTAGTTGTATTCTATCATATATCAATGTTTATATGATAATTATTCTCAATAAGGACATGCGAAAAAAGGTTCTCCAATTATTCCACGGCAGACATGACGGCAGTCATTCACAGGTATATTTATCATCATTAGTGATCTCTCAGAGCATAGAAAACAGAAATTTTTTAGACCGCTTTAATTTCAATCGGAAACAGATCCAGATCCAGCGTTTTTTGAGGGACGCGCACGGACTTGGATTGTTGATTGTTGAAACATGAATAGTTGCTCAAAGTTGGGCAGAATTGTTGAATTTTGTTTGTTTTTGGATAAAACCTTTTATTATCATGAAATAACTGAGACAGAGGAGCCGTTTTCGCAAATTATTTATTCACAAATAAAAGTCAGAGGGAGTCAGTGATGCTTGTTGTGGTGATGATGATGGCCTTCCTTCACGACAACGACCTGAAAATGCGGGTTTCGCTCTTTTCTATCTTGTCGAAGGAGAATCAATGGTTATAAAAGCCATGTGTAGGTTTCAAAAATTACATGAAAAGTGAACATTTGAAGGTCGACAGAAAGCTTCGTGTGAAGTAGTCTCAATTTGGGGAAGTATTGCTATTTACAATGCTAGAATAGTTGTATGCTAGTTTTTTTTCTAGGTGGTTTCACAATGTTTGAGGTGACGTGATTGGCTAATATTAAACATACGTAAAGTCTCTTATGTGTGCGAGTGCAACCTTCTTGAGTATATGTTTCCGATCTTGATCTATCTTACCCAGTGGCGTACCCAGGATTTCGGCTCGGGGGGGGGGGGCGCGGCAAAAAAAGTTTTCAAGTGAAGGTGCGTGGCGTCAGCCACGCACTCCGAAAATTTTTTAGGGGGGCTTCTCAAAATTTTCGCGGGCCCCCAACCCCGAAAATCTGGAAAAAAGGGGCGTGGCGTCAGCCACGCCCCCGAAAAATTTTTTTTATAAGGCTAATTTGAATTTTTAAAAAATTTAAAAAATTATTTTAATTGTTTACAAAAATAAACAAGTCACTTGCACATTTTTATAACTCATGTAAGTAACTTTAATAAATTTCGCGACCCGTTCTCGGGGGGGGGGCCCCCCCCCCGCCCCCCTCCCTCGGTACGCCACTGATCTTACCGGTGGAAGTATTGGCCGTCTTGGTGGTGCCACGACCACAATCGGTCTTCTCGGAGCTACAACTTCAATTATTGGTCGACGGGGTGGTACTACGACTTCGACCAAGGGTGCTGGTCGTTGCTCTATCACCACAGTAGGAGCAGGAGCTGGTGCCATGACCACATTTGGCCCAGATGTCATAAACGTTGTGCCGGCTTGTACACCTGAACAAAGTATCAAAGCTCAGATTACATGCGTGTTAAGTTTAATTTAGTATACCTCCGCCGTTCATGCCGGAAAAGTGTTCAAAGTGTATTTTCTCTACTCTTACATCTCCTCGAATGGTAAGGCCAGTTATGTGAAATGGATCTTCACGATGATTGAAATGAGCAAAATGTTGACCATTTACGTAAATCTTAATTTAGAAAATAGCGGCCTAAAATGAAATGGACCACAGTGACTCGCACCGCGAAATGCGAAGAATGACATTTAATTTGCAGGTGAAAATGGTGACCGAAATGGAAAACGTTGCTCTGACGTTGTTCCATCTGCCATCTGAATAAGTTGTGATATAGTCTGATTTACAATCCGCCATAGTTTCAGATTAATATTTTATACCTACCCTCCACTCCTCATATTGTTAAGAACTACGACATTTTCACTGCCGTAGCCTGCACGTATCGACACGTGGAAGGCTATTCCCTCACGAGACGGAAATTCAACGACGAATCCGCTAAAGCAGCAAAATATTTGATACTTCTCTTTCGAAACATCAAATGCTCGAAAGCATAGGTAGTGTTCGTTAAGATTTCTCTTCTCAAAACTGTGCCAGCTGATGCAAAGCCGTCTCTAATCAAGATATAATCAAACGTGCCAAAATAATTTTACGAAATAAAAAAGAAGTGAAGCTTTAGCTGTTTTTTAGAACCAGCAGCACCATCTCCCTTGTCCAAAAAGTTAGGAAAGATGTCATAGTCCTCATGCGCTTCGGGTAAATTGTTGTTACTTCTGCTTTTCTCTCTATATTCATGCACTGCAGCAGAGCTGAGCTTGTGGATACGCTCCGAAAAATGCTATTCAAAGAAATCTTGGAAGAGTACAAGTCAGTGGCGTACCGAGGAGGGGGGAGCCGGGGAGGGGGGGGGGGGTTAAAAGTTACTTACATTCGTAACAAAAATGTGCATGTGGCTTGTTTATACTTGGAAATAATTAAAATAATTCCATAAATTTTTCAAAAATTCAAATAAGCCCTATAAAAAATGTTTTCGAGGGCGGGGTTAGGAGACCGCAAAAATTTTGGGAAGCATACCAAAATTTTTTTCGGGTATCGTCCTCCCCCCCCCCTCAAGCGCAAATCCTGGGTACGCCACTGATACAAGTAACACCCACTCATTCTCCGTTTGACTGTAGCATTTTGTCGATAAACTGCGTGAACTGTTACATTTAGATTTTTCCGGACATTATTTTCGAGCTGAAAGCAAGTAAAAGTTCGAAAATAATACCCGGAAAAAATCGAATTTGTCAAACTAACTTTTGTGGTCCTTGTAGAAGTTCACCATGAATGTCGACAACGCCGTCGTGATTGAAGCCATTGTAGATGGGAGTGGTGCACGGAACGACCTGAGGGTAAATGATTTACAGGGTGAGCCATAGGGTGTGTGTTTGTCAACCTACGGGAAACTCGATAATGTGCATGGCGAAGAAAAATGATAAAAGCCAATGCCTAGCCCTTTATGCTGCTTCTTATCAGCCGCCATAATGTCGAGCTTATCTGACTTCAACAGGTGCTTGTCTCGCAGAGAATTACAAGGAATTATTATTTAGTCAGTCTAAAATAACCTGGTGTTTTCGATCGTGTCAGGTAATTGTGTATATATATATATATATATATATCTGAGAAAAAGAGCTTGTCTGAAAATCCATCTAGAATCTAAGACAAAACAAATAATCAATTTCAAATCTTGATGTTAAAAGAGAAGGATTGACATTATAAGTTCATTAATTTTTATACTTGGTTGCATTAATTATTTCGATTTTGCAAGGTTTTGTCTGGACAAATGTTCATCATCGTAACTGGAATTCCCCACATTTGAATAGCTGATACAACCAGAACCCCTCAAAACTGGTGTCTTTGCGCAAGAACATTCCTCTGCCTATAAGAAAGAAGGATCGCACACTTGCTCGTCTCCTTCAAGCTCAAATATTCGTGGATTAGAAGCAGTCATGAAAAATAAATGGAATCAAATTGTACCGATAGAGTTGAGCAAAGAGAGAAGCTTGCGTCATGACATTTTTGGCCGGCAAAGGATGGCATGCGATGTCAGGATTATAAAATCATAACTTCACCAACTTCTTTGACATCAACTTACAAGCTACATTGAATGCTTTTCTGGTGTAGTAGTAAATCATTAGCAAAGGGAACTACAATACTTCCATAAGCTCGTTCAGTTGGAGCGAAGCCGACAAAGAGGAATACACTAAGCTCAGCATAAGTTGGCCTCTGAAGTTTCCAAATATGATCAAGCAAAACCTCACAAAGTCTTCTTTGGCCCTTTTACAACCACTATCAATTTCATCTATGTTTCTACATAAACTCCAAAAAACCGAAGAGACCAAGAAGTCGCAGAAAATGAAACCCATTATTTCTACTCTTTAGAATAAGAACAAAGGTGGTCATAAGGCTAGAAAACGGCATAAATCTGAAATCAGTAGCTGAGTTTGACATAAGACTTCAAGAACGACTGCCAAAACGCATGATATTTGGAGTTGGAGACAATATCTAACAAGACGTTTCCTTGTACAATAACCCGAAGGAAAAACGTGTTTTGATCTTTTCACTAAGGGCCGCATGCATCAACATCCCCACCGGAGATGGGATTGCGGTTAAAAGAAAGCTTCATATCCTGAAGCCTCCAGTATCTTGATTTCACGCTGGCTACCTGTCCGTAAGTATTCCCACCATTTATCACCATAAACATATTGAACAGGATCCAGAAGCTGTGCAACCCCATTTTCCAGCTTTTTGTACGACCCCCTAGCGCCCGGCTGGCAACAGCCTTTTCTTCAAAGTCATTTTTCTCTTCGAAGGTAACGAAAGCATTACAAAGTTGTACTGATTATCCAATCCAACAGTACTAAGCAGGTTGCTGATAAGAACAAATGAATTTTTAATATATCGAATTTTTCATTAAACCCCAACTTTCGACCTGCGGTTCATCACAAATTTCATGACATCAACGCGTCATTTGTTCTAAACAGCAAGATGCTTAGCACTGTTGAGTTAAATAAACAGTACAACTCTGGAAGGTTTTCGTTAACTTCCAAGAAAGAAAATTAACTTTAAAGAAAAGACGGTCAGCCGCAGCGGATCATCAGGGAGTCGTACAAAAAGCCAAAAATGCGATTTGTACGGCTTCTTGCTCGTGTTCAATATGTTCATAGCAGTGGCGTACCCAGGACTTCCGTTTGGGGGGGGGGGGGAGGAGAGAAAAAAATTCTCGGATGGAGGTGCGTGGCGTTAGTCACGCACTCCGGAAAGTTTTTCGGAATGCTTCCCAAATTTTTTGCGGACCTCTGATCCTGAAATTTCAAAAAGAGGGAGCCCGAAAAATTTTTTTATAAGGTTTTTAGAATTTTTGAAATTTTTGAAAATAATCTCAATTCTTTACAAGTAAAAAGAAGTCGCTTGCACAGTTTTATAACACATTTAAGTAACTTTCAAAAATTTCGCGACCCATTCTCGAGGGGGGGGGCCTTCCCCTGGTCTGGTTCATAGTGAAAGATGTTGGAAGATGTCACTTTTGAGCTGGTACAGGGTGACCACCCACTTTTGGAATAAAAAAGTTCCCTGGACGATAAAGAAGGAAAAGAATCAAAACAAACGCAAAAAGACTATTGAAAGCATATTTTTATGTATACGGCGGCATATATTTTCAAAATAAACGTGTTTATAAATGTGTATTTAGAAGTTAAAAGTTAGCGGAACTGTGCGGATTTTATTAAGTAGATTTTGTTATAACGTACTGCGAAGAAAGTATAGGGCTTATCAAACTGAGTGTCGTTTGCACCAGCATCTCCATCTTCGTGCTGGGCTCTGCGTCTCTTCTGCGGTACATGCTCCCTAATCACCTCCAATCAATTGATGCTCCGCCTTTCCCACGCTCGCTCTGGGAAAGTGCTCAGAGAGCAGCCCTGCGGAAGAGACGCAGAGTCCAGCGCGAAGATGGAGATGCCAGTGCAAACGAACTCAATTTGATAAGCCGATCCAGGGAATAACCGCCGAGAACCAGAATTTTGAGTAGTAAAATAACGATAAATTATGCAAAATTTCCACTTTTTAAATCTTGCGGTTGAAGATGTCAGCAATTGCGACTCCATAGGTTTGAAGAGTAAGTGCACCTCTAATACACAGTAAAAGAATCGAGTCGAGATAGTCGCCGAAAACCATAATTCTAAAAAATTACGCCATTTTAGCGTGTTCAATGACAGCTGACAGTTAAACTCATATAAATCTTGAATGTGAAAGTGTGTGATGTTGCGAATTCATAGGCTTTGTAGAGTAAGGTTTGCCTTATCATAATAAATCTTAGATGTGCCGATTTATTAAAACAGCGCCGAGATCCAGGGCCTTGAAGAGCAGGTAAAAAAGCGCTTTTCAAAATTCAACAGCTCATAACTTTTTCAGAATTGCATGAATCATGTTGCGGCTTCATGAATTAATTCCTCTCATCAAAAACTTCCAGATGCTACATAATATGTGGGGGGTGCCTCCTACGTTCATCACAGTCTCAATTTAATGTGCATGGAGGCCGCCAGGGGAGACTTTTCATCACAAAGTCTCCCCAGCGCACTTTAAGGTATTGCATGGAGGCCGCCAGGAGAGAATTTGTGATGAAAAGTCTCCCCCAGGGCCTAAGTCGTAGGAGGCCCTGAACCCTCACATATTTTATATCATCTGAAAGCTCTTGATGAGAAGAATCTAACCTATGAAGTCGCAACATGATTCATGCAGTTCTGAAGAAGTTATGAGCTGTTGAATTTTGGAAAACGCTTTTTTACCTGCTCTCTCAAGAGTCTGGCTCTCGGCCGCGTTCAAACGAATCGGTACGGTTAGAATATATCTGATAAGCAGGGTAAAGCGGGGGGTGCGGCACGCCGCAAGGGGGGGTCGTAAAGGGGGGGGGGGTAGGTAGGGGGGGGTCGTATCGACCCAAGGTCAAAAGCGGTTTCTAAGTGGAAATGACTGCAGCTAAGTTCTTAGATGTGCCACGCTGTTGAAATCCTGCAAAATTCAAGTTCAACGACACAAACTTGCAGATACCGTATGCCCACCGTAACCTACCGTACCTCTAATCAAGCATAATTGTCGTAATCCGCGTGTCGAATAACCCCTATGCGCCAAGTTTCAGCGAACTCTGAGGTCTCCGAGCAATAAACAACCTGTATAAAGCAGTAATTTAAAACATGATTAACTTCATCTTAACGGTGAGTAAGCTACCTCTTCTTGCACTCAATACAAAGCACTACTCCTTCTTTGTCCACCTCAGGAATCCCGCTTCAGAAGACCTCCAAACTATTGAATTAGAAGCCAACCAAAATAGCTTTTAGCTTTTGATCGCTGTGCTTTCACCAAATATTACTCAGACCTAAGAAGACGAATCAGGCTCAAAACATCCCTATGGAATCTATGAGGTTTAGGCTATTGATTCATATAAACATTGTCCGCTAAAAATGTTTTTTTGATATAGTTAATGGCCTGCGGCACCCCCCCCCCCCCTCAAAACCTGCGGCTGCCGCAGGTTCTGAGGGAGGTGCCGCAGGCCACTAACTTACCTTCAAATCGTTCAAACAGCTGCCTTTTTCATATCATCCTATAGATTCATCCTTCCTCTCTCCGTAGTAGCTTTTTCCCCTCGAACCATTTTCCTTAGAAGGAAATACATATGGTTTTTGCGAACCATATGCTGGGAAGTGTGGCCAAAAAATATTGGCTTACGGTAGCGCTCGAAAGATTGTCAAAACACACAGAGGCGCGAGATACGCGCCTTTGAATCCCACTCTCGTTATGAGCTGTGATGTTCTCGCCTTTTTATTCTTTTTCATCACTTGTTCATTGTTTTTTCGGAAAACTTCAGCCCTATTTGTTATGCAGCGTTACAGGTGTTGTTCCATTACTAATCAATATCTACAATATCTACAAAATGTGGTCGCCAGTTTTCAGTTTATTTCTTGTTTTTTGCTTGACATGTTTGCTTCTATTAGTCTTTGATTATTTGAGGTTTCTAGCTGCTCGTATTGTGTTCCTTCTGAGTGTAGTCTGTCAAAGTGTGGAACAATTACATTTCCTCTTTTTGAACTAGTTTTGCTCTGCGTTGATATTTAAACAAAAAGAAGAAATCACCATAATCTTTCATTACTCCATTTTTGATGTAACTATGGGGGATGTTGCCAATGTTGTAATCTTGTCCGTTTCCCAAAAATCTGCCTGTTTTTTGAGGATCGAAATGCGGCCTTCGAAGAGACTAAACAGTTTGCTTTGCAATCACTAGCAAGTGTGGCTTATCAGATAAATACTCTTGCAAGGTTCGTTATCATCGACAAAACTCATTTGGGAGTATCTGAATAGATGCTTTATTTTTCAGGGATCTGTTGGACATGCTGGATTTGCAAACTGATAAGATTTCGAGCCTTACTGGGCAAGTGGACAATATCGATGTGGTGAGTTCAGAGACATTTTGATTGGGAGTGTAAAGTTGATTTTCTGTGACGTTTAGTTGACCCTATTCTGTTTCTCTCTTTACGTACTCATATGCAGGCAAAGTGATTTTTGTATCGGTCTTTCTCCATTCCTAGAGATTCCAGGTTGTCAACATCCACAAGGAGAAGCTTGCGCGACGTGAAATTGGAGCCCTCACAACGAACAAGTCGCTGCAAAAGCAACCAAAAATCATTGCTCCTGCAACACAGGTGAGTCAGCAGCTTACCGCAAGCAGTTTTTTAAACTGACATTGCAGTGGTATCTGTTATGATTTATGATTTTTTTTCCATTTCCGTGCATACATGCAATGTTTTCAGAGAAGTTAACTTCCTCGCAGGTTTTCTATCGTAAACCTTATGCTAGTTTCTCATGTTTCGTCGCTATTGTTGTCTAGAAGTTTCGTCTAATTGTGAATAAAAAGGGTTTCGAAATGGCATCATAACGTCATGATCTATTAATCTTGCCTGTACCTGTCCTAGTCTATTAATTTATTTCAGGAACCTGTCCAACGATATAAACGTACTCCTATAGATTTCTCTGTACTGGATGGCATTGGTCATGGTGTACGCGTCGAGGCATGTAAAAGAGCTTTCAATGCTTTCCTTATCAGCATCCAAGTGTTTAGGTTCCATATCAAAGTCGAGCAGGCTTGATTTCTCGCGCAGCTTCCAGCGTATCCGGTTCTCAACAGTATGGTGGACATTACGCTCAGTATGAACGGACAGCTAATATCGGAACCAATACGGTAGGTTTCAGGTTTTGACTTTGATGTTTTCCGAAAAGGGGCTAAATGTAAGAGCAAGGCAGCATAGCTCGGCTCGATATAAATCTGCAATTTTTTCATGTTTTGTTGTTTTCTAAATTTGTACTTCGTTTTTTCTACGTTTCAGAGCTTTGGATGACATGTTTATACATTTTTAAAAAGTCTTTATTCTGTGGATGCTTTTATTGCACAACCTTTACCTTGGTCGCTCATCGGTTCGCAGTGGTCACCTATTCCTGACTCCTTCAGATCACTACAGAGTTCCCTTGGTAGGGTAATGACCCATTGTATAAAGCTAATAGAAATTGTATGAGTGCTTGCAGGTTATGCCATTGATCGATCACCAAAGGTACATCCCCGCACAGCAACATCAGTCTGGTAGTGAATACGGAAGTCAGGTAGGCTATCGAGCCGCTGACTCTGATGCAGCATCCGATTTTGGAAAAATCAGCGTGCAGGACAGATATGGTCAGTTTGTCGTTTATTTTTGTCTGGGATTCCTACTGCATTTTCACGATTTAGGAACCTTACGATTACATCAGTCACAAGTTCCACGCGCCTCTATGGTTGATGGGGGAAGCGTACCTTAGCGAAGAAAGGCCGGATCCTCCAGGTTTCCCGTTACCGCCACCCCAGCTTAGCTCAAATTATGGATGTATCGGCATGACAAGAGCGGAAGGTTAGCTTTGCTTTGATTTTTTTATACACAATATATTTGTATGTTTTTACAGAGCTTCCTCCTCCCGCTATGCAAGTGTTGAACTCAACCCATGAAGATGAACTTCTTCCGCCACCTCCACACTCACAGGCCAATTTCTTCGACGCACAAGCTGACCGGATTCCCCGAAATTACATAGAAAAAGGTTGGTTTTTCTTATTAATGATGTTTCGAGTATGGTCATATTTATTTCCCTTTTTTATCCTGAAGTTTTAAAAAATATCGCTTGAGATACTTACTTATCTTCAATGGTTTTCTAAATTTTATGGCTAAAAGTTCGAAAAAGGGCTTTTTTAGAGTTTCAGATCGAACTATTTCATATCTGACATTTGTTGCTCTCTCGCACTGATTTTAGCCATCTCATGAGCATGTCGCCAGTAGAATTATAGAAGTCGATCAAGTAGTAATGCAATCTCTTCGTAATTCTCGTGTTTAGTCAAAGTTTTGTTCTTTCATCCTCATGTTTCTGTTGCTGACGAGACGCGTTAATAGTGTTAGACTAAATTGTAAGATGTCGGCCTTCCATACTCTTTTACGTTGTATGCATCGCAGATTCAATCTTGACTTAGCTTCTCATCTTTGATGTACAGCAATGGTCGTCTTACATTACGTCGCGTTGAAAATAACTATATTTCCCTATTGAAATACGTCGCTGCATATGATTTGGAATACGATTTCAAATTACAGCTGTTGCACTGTACGATTATGATGCTGACAAAACGGATGAGCTTTCACTACGGGAAAATTGCATCGTCTATGTACTTCGAAAAAACGATGATAGATGGTTCGAAGGAGTTTTGGATGGAGTCACTGGACTTTTCTCTGGCAATTATGTTCAACCTGTTTGATACCTTACATAAGCTTTCATTTATACTGACCGCCTTTGTATCTGAATTTCTACTTTGTATGCACTGAAGACTTGCAGCTAGATGCTGCTCATTCTTAATGTTGAAATTTGAAGTATCTGATCTTCACGGGTATCAAAGCTCGGTGGAGTTGATTGTTCCATGTTTTACAAAACATATGCAGTGATTATATTTCATTTCACGTTATGAACTTGATAGCATTTGATAAATAAAAATCAATACATAGGAGATCTAGGAAAAGTGTCTTCAAAATAAAATCATATGAAGCTTATGCTACAGCAATGACAATACACCAAGAATAGTTTCACCATTTTATCGATCCTCAACAACTTGAAAACTCTGAGAAAAACCCGAGATCGCATGAAGCTAGCGACACACAGCACTATTTACGGTCTTACATTTCAATAGGCTTATGGGGTGGAGGGAGGGGGGGGGGGGGTAGGGAATGGCGGGGGGGGGGGGGGTCGTGCCGAGGTCCGGCCCAAGGGGGGGGGGTCGTATCCAGCGGTCGCGTGCCGCACCCCCCGCTTTACCCTGCTGATAAGCAGTGGCGTACCCAAGATTTTGGCTCGGGGGAGGGGGGGGACAAAAATTTTTCTCGATGAAGGTGCGTGGCGTTAACCACGCACTCCGAAAATTTTTTTGGGATGTTTCCCAAAATTTTTCCGGGGCCCTGACCCCAATATTTTAGAAAAAGAATTTCAGAAAAAATTTTTTTAATAATTAATAATTATTAAAAAAAATTTTAATAATTTAATTAATAATTAATCAAATTATTAAATTAATAATTCAATTAATTGTTAATTAGGGGCGTAATTTGAATTTTTAAAAATCTCTAAAAATTATTTTAATTATTTACAAGTACATACAAGTCCTCTGCACACTTTTATAACACATTTAAGTAACTTTCGAAAATTTCGCGACCCATTCTCGGGGGGGGGGGTCGCATAATTTATCGTTATTTTATTATCCAAAATTATTTAAAAAATCAATTATCCAAAAAATCAATCCAATTTTATTTTGGTTCTCGGCGGTTATTTTATTCCCGGATCGACCTACTTTCTTCACAGTACGTTATGACAAAATTTACTCAATAAAATCCGTACAGTCCCGCTAACTTTTACTTCCAAATACACATTTTACTAAACACGTTTATTTTAAGTATATGTACCGCCGTATGCGTAAAAATATGCTTTCAGTAATCTTTTTTGGGGTTTGTTTTACTTGTTTTTCGCGCACTGGCGGCAACGACATGGAAGGATAGGCTCAGTCGACCTTAACGCTTCCCCCCCCCCGTCGACGTTTTTGGGAGAGAAGGTGAGTGTCCGGCACTACCACCTTCACTTTTGGCCGGCCAGTGGTAGCTGGGACCACCTTCACTTTTGGTGGGCCCGGCTCCCCCGATCGCACTTCCGGTTGGAATACTTACGGAAAGGTAGACAGCGTGAAATTCTGATATCTGGAGCTTCAGCAAAGGAGCTTTCTCTTGAAATGAGAACCAAATGAAAACCAAAATGAACTCTCCGGAAATCTGACAATGGAAGTGCATTTGTTCGAAGCAGCCTTTTCATGTAATTTCAGTGTGATTTTGCAGAGAATTGGATGCTGGTTTTAAATCTGTCCTTTAATCTGCTGTGCATTTCTCATGTACGCATAGTTATGTACAATTTTTATAGAGAACAAACATTGCAAGATCTAGATGAAAATAATTTACTTGGTCTCTTCTGCACACAAACCGTGCAGAGTTGAGAATTAGCCTATTAGACAAGAGCTTTTGACGAATAGAATGCTCTGATACTCCATCACTAACCTGATTGAGCAATTCTCAATATTTTTGTGTTTATAACTTGGCGTCAAGAGGCTACAGCAGGTACATAAGACAAATTTGGAATCAGCGTTTAATGCCTTTCCGAGTATGAGTCGTTTTGTCTGAAAGGCTCATTTTGACTGTTGATCTTCTCTTGTGAGTTGGTTGGAGCACAAATACTGGCAAGTTCACGTACCCTTTGATTCAACGGGAGTGACAGCTGGAGGGCGGAACTTGAAGGCCTGATCAAGGCTGAAGAATGACTAGAGAGCGCGCTCTCGAAAGAGAATCAGGCTGCGCCGCGTGTGCGAGCGGTCGTCGTCTTTCTTGGAGGAAGTCCCTTGAATTGGAGGGTAATTGACAATCAGTTCAAATGCGGTGTTATTTGTATCGTGTGTTGTAAACGCAATTATTTGTCTATTATAGCATTTCTTTCAACTTTCATGCGCTAGCAAAAGAACTTGTTGAAGCATGTCGAGCATGTGCCACCTTGATGATAACGTGAATTGTCTGCAAAGTCAAATACAAGGCATTTACAAAATCGCGGTGACGGAATCGAGTATGGTATTTGCGTCCACTCAAGCGTTCAAGAGTTTATTCAGATACTTTAGCGCCCAACTCAGTCAATTCAGGTTTCTTGCAGCTAGCATACACGCCGCCGAAATTGTTACAGTTTTGAGAGTGAGCTGTATCCACATATAGACATGTTTTCACGATGCCCTCTACGCTTTTTCCCCCAAAACAATTTAGTCAGATTACACTACACCTGTGCCAAGCCCCAAAATACACTCAAACACATTTCCGGCCGGTAACCGGGCAACGAAGCCTTTCCGGCCGGCAACTTTTGAAGCCGGGCTTATACAGTCTGCCCCAATCCCAACCAGGCCAAAATTGGCCTGGCGGGAGTCCGCTTCGCTAGGATTTCGCGGTCACGCCTACGACTGCTTCTTTGCTCCCTCTTCAATTCTTCTGCTCTCTCCGACAGCGCGCATATGCAGCGCAGACCGCTAGCGCGCTGCGAGCGCTCAAATTTACGCCGATGGTTCGGCCTGATCCCAATTGGAGCAGACTGTAGCTGGCCGGCGACAGGGTTAAAAATTTCACCCGCTGGCGTCCGCCCGAGTCCTCAAAAGCGCGAGGCACGTACCGAATGCACTTACCACTGGAAAATTAGCACTCCTTACGTTGTTTCTTTACTCTTGTTGCCGTATTATTCATTTCGACGATGGTGCATCTATGGAATGGTGGCTTTGTTCGCGAAATAGAGATCATTCTACAGACTCCTCGTTAAAATGAGGATAGGTGCTTGTTTTTTAACTAGACAGTATGTCTGCCTACTTTGCTTGTACAGGACATTATGAACTAAACATATTCAGGGAAGGTGAGCTTTTGAATAAGTTTTCATTAGAGAAGGTTCGATCGATCATTTTTTGACACAATCTTTAGATAATCTTCCTTCGCAAATCCGTTGGTATCAATGTGCGTGGCGAATTGTATACATATACACTTGCCGCATACCTCGCCTATTACCTACAATGAAAACGATATTCAATCTCAGCAGTCGACTACGATCTCTAACATGGTCTGATTTTGAATGCAAAGCGCTTCTGCAAAAAGATTTACTGCTAATGTTGTTTTAAAGTCCCCCACAATGGTCGGTCGCCTCATCGTGGCGTGGGGGTGACACTGGGTGTCGAACTGCGATGCACAGCCGAGTGTATACTCTGGTAAGGCCTCCCAAGCTGTGAAGGAGTTCGACGTTTCCGGTTTCGGCCGGATGCCTAGCTAAGAACTGGCCGCGCCAGATTCTCCGCCGTCTGGCTTCTTCTGGTCGCTAGGCGGTCCCTCCCCGCTCCAAGCCCGGGGTCAGCGATCACCCCGTGGAAATCAAGAGTAGGCCTAGTAAGCCACCTCTTGTAGGGGAACAAATTTTATTACTCAGACAGCAAGAAGATTTAGAAAAAACCCTGTACATCGGATCCCGCCTACGGCGCCGGGTGGTAGCAAGAACGATGTCAGGGTACTCAGGGCGCCTTTCGGATTGGACAAAAACGACACGTCTGCCCGGACGACACGCCATGGAGACTGCCTCATGCTCTGCACTTACAACGCCAGGACAGTCTCCACAAACGCCGACCTCCACGCTCTTCTCGACGCTGCAGAGCACATCAACTACCACATCATTGCTCTGCAGGAAACGAAGTCCAGGAAGAAGGACGTGCGACAGATGAGTGATGGGACCCTCATCATTCGTGGTGAAAAGGTTCCATCACGAAACGTGGGAGGCGTCGGCTTTGTCGTCCACCCATCTATCGTCCATCTTGTCGATTCGCACGAGATCCTATCACCTCGACTAGGCATCCTACGACTACGACCTCCACATCAGAAGACCATCAGCATCATCAACTGCTATTCTCCAACATCAGCAGCTGACGAATCAGAACTAGATGCTTTCTACGAAGATGTGGAGGAGGTCGTCCGCAACGAGAAGTCCTTTTACAAGTTTGTTGTGGGCGACTTCAACGCGAAAATCGGGATGCCACTGGAAAGGGAATATAGGATCGGGAAGTTTGGATATGGGCTCCGGAACGAAAACGGCAACCGTCTTGTTGGGCTTCTCTCCGCCGCACGACTTTTCCATGGAAATTCCATCTTTATGAAGAAGGAACATCGCCGGTGGACATGGGAATCGCCCAACGGAACGACCCACGCGGAGATCGACCACATTCTCACCAACCGAAGGTGGAGCTTACTCGATGTCTCTGTAGTTCCATCCTTCTGTAGTGGCTCCGATCACCGCCTCCTTCGAGCGAAGATACGACTCAGCCGAAGGCTGGAAAAGAAAGTCTGTCATAGTGCCGCGAGAAGGAAGGAAGTCGTTTATGACGGTAACAGGCTGGAAGAGCTCATATCAAGTTGTGACTGGCCCATCGAGGAGGACCCAACGTACGACTACGACCGGCTTCTGAAGGGATTGCGAGCCTGCGGAGAATGCGCCTCAGTGACTTCTGAGAAGAACTTGGACCGCATCTCGAAGACCACCAAGGAATTGCTCGAAAGAAGAAGATCATTGAGGCAGGATCCGAATGCAACTCATCTCGAGCGACTGATTGCCAACACCAGTTGCAGAACAGCTTTGCAAGAGGATCTCAGGAAGTACAGGCAAGCCAAGATACTGGAAGCAGCAGAAAGAAGACGAAGTCTCAAGAAGTGCCGAAGGGACCTCTGCGAATATCACGTACCGCTGGCTGCACTACTGAACGAAGACGGGACTCCGACTTCTTCCCGATACAAGATGGAATCTATCGCGAAGAACTTCTACACCAACCTCTTCCGCTCATCAACACCCGTGCAGATGCCCGTTGTTCCCACTGGAGAAGTACCACCACGAATTCTACCTGCTGAAGTGCGTATCGCGATACAGACCATGAAGACGTCCACGGCTCCAGGACCAGATCATCTTTCCGTCGAACTTCTGCGAGCCGGAGGACACCGTCTACACGAGATTCTAGCGTCGCATTTGACATCTTACCTTCAGAAGGAGAAGATTCCCGACCAGTGGAGAACGTCAAGAACCGTCCTTCTCTTCAAGAAGGGTGAACGGGAGGATCTTCGGAACTATCGTCCAATATGCTTGCTGAGTGTGCTGTACAAGCTTTTCACGAAGATTATCCTCGCTCGCATATCAAGGACACTGGATGAAGCCCAACCCCAAGAACAAGCTGGATTTCGCAAAGGATTCAGCTGCATGGACCACATCCAGACCGTTTCGAGGGTCATAGAAGTCTGCCGGGAGTACCGACTGCCTCTCGTCCTAACCTTTGTCGACTACGAGAAAGCCTTCGACAGCGTCGAAACCAACGCCATCCTGTCTGCGCTAGTCGATCAAGGAGTGGACCCAGCTTACGTGAGGACGTTAGCCGACTGCTACAAGGACTGTACAACGACGATGCAGCTATTCCATCGCCCCCTGACCATACCAATCGGGAAGGGGGTCCGACAAGGCGACACAATCTCGCCGAAGCTGTTCACCGCGGCCTTGCAGTGGGTGATGAAGTCACTGGACTGGGACGAGAGAGGTATACGAGTTGATGGGAAATTCCTGTCCAACCTTCGTTTTGCGGACGACATCGTTCTCTTCTCGAGCAGTATCACCGAAGCAGAGACGATGCTGAAGGAACTAAACGAAGTAGGGAAGAAGATCGGACTGCGAATAAATCGGAAGAAGACTCAGTTTATGAAGAACGCCCTTTGCGAAGATGCAGAAATGGAATTGGAAGGCACCCCGATTATGGAGACGTCTTCCTACTCAGACAATCACAGGCTCTCAGCCGGCGGCGATAAAGGGCAGTTTCACTGAGCGGGCGGCGATACTGCAAAAGTGGCAGTGAGCGGGCGACGACATTGTAGGAATGGCGGTGAGCGGGCAGCGACGGGCTACCAGCGGGCAGCTATAATCTTCCATGAGTCAGAAAATAGCTGCAGAGCGCATTCATTCCTACCAAAGCAGCCAAAAGGCGACGATGAGGCAGCGACTCCGTTAAGCTGGCAGCGACCGTGAAACGATGGGGCTGCGAATACAAGATTTCTGTCAGCGGGCCGCATCAATGCTATGAGCAGGCAGCCTTAATTCATAACGCCGTATTGTGGCTGCCAACTGGAAGCCATATCGTTGCCCGCTCGAGACATTGTTGATCGCACCAGAAAAGTTAGATGTGCAGGCAAACGAGATTGGCAGCGTGGGCTCGCGTCATTTTTTCATTTCTTGTTGCCTAATCTTTGTTTTCATCTTTGCTTTTCTTTGTTTTCATTTTCGTTATCATTCAGTGCTTCAATTCAAGTACTAGTGAACCAGTACCTACAGGCCCCGGTCAGACTTCACGCGACTTGATCGTCGCGACCAAATCGCCAAGATTTCCATTCATTTTCATTTCACATTCAAAAATTTCGGTCTGGAAAAGTATCACAACCGAATGCAAGTTGATCGGCATGGAATGTAGTTGTAACAGTTGTCTCGTCGCGATTCAGTCGCGACGATCAAATCGCGTGAAGTCTGCCCGGGGCCATAGGCGCTATTTGGAAGAGCGTTTGCTTCGGGACTCGTCGTGGTTCCCCGCTATTTGAAGATTTTTGAATTGAGCTAACGATTTTTTATATATCAGATTTCTTTTGTTCTCTATGTTTGAATGTCTATCCAACCGGAAGAAGTGCTTAATGAAAGCCCCGTTTGTTTTTGAATCAAAACATCCACTGCACAATGTAATAAAAACTCTTTTTCAAACTCTCTCGAAAACCGCAAAAAACCACCTGTTCACTCATTTTACGAATGTAAATATAAAAGTGCCTTTCTCTCAACATTTTCGCCGCTGTCACATCATTCGACTACAAGCGTGCTCTCGTTGCGCTCAAAAATCTGCATCATTGCGTTTCGCATGCGTCCATTTTCGAAATGCTTATTGATTAGAGGGCGTGCTATGCTTTGCTACTTCAATCCTGTGTTTATAATTTTTTCGAGAAAAAACTCTCAGCCTCAGCGGATTACACGCGAAAACATGACCTTTTACGCAACGAACGACCATCACGGCTCACTCACGCCAGCGTGTTGTACGCAAAGTTCATTGAGTGAGGAAGGATTGATTTGAGGTTTAGTCTGAGTGCCACACACAGCGTAAGTTGTTTTCGTCGCACATGTTTCTACCGATCGGCCTTTTCAAAAAGTAAAATTCTCATTTCGAAGCCAAGTGCATTCATCGAAACACAGTGCGCACCTTTTCAATGATGTACCGTCGGTTCATTTCATATGATCATGTGTGCCATTGCACACATCGTCCATCTTTGGCGTACCCATCCTGGATTCTTGGAGGACGCAACCCTTCCATTAAGCGATTCTGATGTTTTCTCGCTGTTTTCTTTTCTTTTTAGGTACTATTTATCTCTAAATGATGTAAGCGATAACAATTGCTCACTCTCTCGCGTTTTTGCGATCGCAAATCCGAGATGGGGACGCCAAAGATGGACGGTGTGTGCGGGTGCACACATGATCATATGAAATGAATCGACTGTACTTGTACAGTGAGCACATAAAAGGTTTACAGTTTTACCGAAAATTGTTTGGCACGCAGTCGTTCGTCAACGCAGCTATCGTCGATTCGTTGACCGTACGGACTGCTGAAGCGCTGCGGACCACATGCGGCGCGGTTAACATGTTGCGAGAGCACGAACAATGGCGATCTTGTGTTGGAGCAAGCGTTTTACCTCGCGGCGCGTGCTCCGCGGTTATGTCCAGTCCGCGCAGTCAACGAATCGACGATAGTTATTTACAGCTGTGATGTGGAACTAGTTTCTGTCTCTTTTTATCGTCAAGGCTTGATAAAGTCTCCCTACCTCCTAGAAATGAAATTAGGGCTTTTCATACTTCCACTAATTGCTGTACCATATTTGTCTTGCGTTTCTCTCTGTCTAATGTCTGTCTTTGATGTATATCTATATATTTCCAACTACTCTCTCTTTTGCAGGCATTTCATGATGTTTGTAATCGTAGTCAATTACAACTTCTCTTAGACGCATTCAGCATTTGTCATGTATGAAGCATCTTTCATGAAGTTACTTCCTCCTTGGTGAAATGCAACAAAGCGTAGGCTTAGTATATGCATTGATTGAGTTCGGCAGGTGCGATGAGCTCATGATTCGGTAATTGCTTTGAAGGTGTCGTGACGAGCCAAGTCCTTTTGGCCGGGTAGAGATCATTGTTTACTGTTGAACAAGAGTCAGTTTGTTGCATTTCACCAGAGTCTATCTCTTGTACAAACAAGCTGCTAAGATGCTGAAACGTGACTTTATCTCCGTAATGTTCTCTTCTAATTTCATCCTTTAGGAGCAACTGAACATGGTCACGAATCAACGCGAGACGCTGCAGTCACCGACGAAGACGCACACAATTCCAGAGGAAGTGTTGCACAACATAAGGGAAATGGGTTTGGATCAGAAATAACAGTTGCCTGAACGATACTCAGGCGCGAATGGATTGTTGATTCGCATGAGAAACCCCTGCATTGCGCGCTAACACTGGCAGTTTCTCACTCATGTTTGTGAATATATTTATCGCGGTGGAATGTGTATTGCTTTGTCGCCGCTCCCCATATGGATCGTTTTATCAATGTTTGTACCCTCAAGGTCCATTATCAGCATATTTTCTGTTCTAAAGAACGTAAATCTATGCGTGTGTATCACTGCGTACTTGCGTACTCATCCACTTAACTGTTACTTGCCTCATTAGTTATAACCTTTATCCAGAGTTTACAAACGTGGCCGTACATAGTTGTAGTATACGATCTAAGCTAACCTTTAAGCTTTTGGGCTACCGACACATCCTATCTTTAAAGAAAGCGGGAAGCGGCAGTGAGGCGATAAGGCACGGAGCTTTTGGTGGGTTTTCGCGGTGCTTTGTGGCTGCCGGCTGAAAATCTTGTCTGTGTAGCTTCTTGTTATGCTTGGACTACAACGTTGTAACTTCAATTAATTCATTATAACGATGGCAAGTAACAATGAAGAATACAACCATCTGGGGCCATATCTATTTCTCCATGTGGTCATATCTCCAGATGGTTATGTTCTTCATTGTTACTTGTCATCGTTATAATGAATTAATTGAAGTTACAACCAGGGTAAAGCGGGGGGTGCGGCACGCGACCGCTGGATACGACCCCCCCCCCCCTTGGGCCGGACCTCGGCACGACCCCCCCCCCCCCCCGCCATTCCCTACCCCCCCCCCCTCCCTCCACCCCATAAGCCTATTGAAATGTAAGACCGTAAATAGTGCTGTGTGTCGCTAGCTTCATGCGATCTCGGGTTTTTCTCAGAGTTTTCAAGTTGTTGAGGATCGATAAAATGGTGAAACTATTCTTGGTGTATTGTCATTGCTGTAGCATAAGCTTCATATGATTTTATTTTGAAGACACTTTTCCTAGATCTCCTATGTATTGATTTTTATTTATCAAATGCTATCAAGTTCATAACGTGAAATGAAATATAATCACTGCATATGTTTTGTAAAACATGGAACAATCAACTCCACCGAGCTTTGATACCCGTGAAGATCAGATACTTCAAATTTCAACATTAAGAATGAGCAGCATCTAGCTGCAAGTCTTCAGTGCATACAAAGTAGAAATTCAGATACAAAGGCGGTCAGTATAAATGAAAGCTTATGTAAGGTATCAAACAGGTTGAACATAATTGCCAGAGAAAAGTCCAGTGACTCCATCCAAAACTCCTTCGAACCATCTATCATCGTTTTTTCGAAGTACATAGACGATGCAATTTTCCCGTAGTGAAAGCTCATCCGTTTTGTCAGCATCATAATCGTACAGTGCAACAGCTGTAATTTGAAATCGTATTCCAAATCATATGCAGCGACGTATTTCAATAGGGAAATATAGTTATTTTCAACGCGACGTAATGTAAGACGACCATTGCTGTACATCAAAGATGAGAAGCTAAGTCAAGATTGAATCTACGATGCATACAACGTAAAAGAGTATGGAAGGCCGACATCTTACAATTTAGTCTAACACTATTAACGCGTCTCGTCAGCAACAGAAACATGAGGATGAAAGAACAAAACTTTGACTAAACACGAGAATTACGAAGAGATTGCATTACTACTTGATCGACTTCTATAATTCTACTGGCGACATGCTCATGAGATGGCTAAAATCAGTGCGAGAGAGCAACAAATGTCAGATATGAAATAGTTCGATCTGAAACTCTAAAAAAGCCCTTTTTCGAACTTTTAGCCATAAAATTTAGAAAACCATTGAAGATAAGTAAGTATCTCAAGCGATATTTTTTAAAACTTCAGGATAAAAAAGGGAAATAAATATGACCATACTCGAAACATCATTAATAAGAAAAACCAACCTTTTTCTATGTAATTTCGGGGAATCCGGTCAGCTTGTGCGTCGAAGAAATTGGCCTGTGAGTGTGGAGGTGGCGGAAGAAGTTCATCTTCATGGGTTGAGTTCAACACTTGCATAGCGGGAGGAGGAAGCTCTGTAAAAACATACAAATATATTGTGTATAAAAAAATCAAAGCAAAGCTAACCTTCCGCTCTTGTCATGCCGATACATCCATAATTTGAGCTAAGCTGGGGTGGCGGTAACGGGAAACCTGGAGGATCCGGCCTTTCTTCGCTAAGGTACGCTTCCCCCATCAACCATAGAGGCGCGTGGAACTTGTGACTGATGTAATCGTAAGGTTCCTAAATCGTGAAAATGCAGTAGGAATCCCAGACAAAAATAAACGACAAACTGACCATATCTGTCCTGCACGCTGATTTTTCCAAAATCGGATGCTGCATCAGAGTCAGCGGCTCGATAGCCTACCTGACTTCCGTATTCACTACCAGACTGATGTTGCTGTGCGGGGATGTACCTTTGGTGATCGATCAATGGCATAACCTGCAAGCACTCATACAATTTCTATTAGCTTTATACAATGGGTCATTACCCTACCAAGGGAACTCTGTAGTGATCTGAAGGAGTCAGGAATAGGTGACCACTGCGAACCGATGAGCGACCAAGGTAAAGGTTGTGCAATAAAAGCATCCACAGAATAAAGACTTTTTAAAAATGTATAAACATGTCATCCAAAGCTCTGAAACGTAGAAAAAACGAAGTACAAATTTAGAAAACAACAAAACATGAAAAAATTGCAGATTTATATCGAGCCGAGCTATGCTGCCTTGCTCTTACATTTAGCCCCTTTTCGGAAAACATCAAAGTCAAAACCTGAAACCTACCGTATTGGTTCCGATATTAGCTGTCCGTTCATACTGAGCGTAATGTCCACCATACTGTTGAGAACCGGATACGCTGGAAGCTGCGCGAGAAATCAAGCCTGCTCGACTTTGATATGGAACCTAAACACTTGGATGCTGATAAGGAAAGCATTGAAAGCTCTTTTACATGCCTCGACGCGTACACCATGACCAATGCTATCCAGTACAGAGAAATCTATAGGAGTACGTTTATATCGTTGGACAGGTTCCTGAAATAAATTAATAGACTAGGACAGGTACAGGCAAGATTAATAGATCATGACGTTATGATGCCATTTCGAAACCCTTTTTATTCACAATTAGACGAAACTTCTAGACAACAATAGCGACGAAACATGAGAAACTAGCATAAGGTTTACGATAGAAAACCTGCGAGGAAGTTAACTTCTCTGAAAACATTGCATGTATGCACGGAAATGGAAAAAAAATCATAAATCATAACAGATACCACTGCAATGTCAGTTTAAAAAACTGCTTGCGGTAAGCTGCTGACTCACCTGTGTTGCAGGAGCAATGATTTTTGGTTGCTTTTGCAGCGACTTGTTCGTTGTGAGGGCTCCAATTTCACGTCGCGCAAGCTTCTCCTTGTGGATGTTGACAACCTGGAATCTCTAGGAATGGAGAAAGACCGATACAAAAATCACTTTGCCTGCATATGAGTACGTAAAGAGAGAAACAGAATAGGGTCAACTAAACGTCACAGAAAATCAACTTTACACTCCCAATCAAAATGTCTCTGAACTCACCACATCGATATTGTCCACTTGCCCAGTAAGGCTCGAAATCTTATCAGTTTGCAAATCCAGCATGTCCAACAGATCCCTGAAAAATAAAGCATCTATTCAGATACTCCCAAATGAGTTTTGTCGATGATAACGAACCTTGCAAGAGTATTTATCTGATAAGCCACACTTGCTAGTGATTGCAAAGCAAACTGTTTAGTTTCTTCGAAGGCCGCATTTCGATCCTCAAAAAACAGGCAGATTTTTGGGAAACGGACAAGATTACAACATTGGCAACATCCCCCATAGTTACATCAAAAATGGAGTAATGAAAGATTATGGTGATTTCTTCTTTTTGTTTAAATATCAACGCAGAGCAAAACTAGTTCAAAAAGAGGAAATGTAATTGTTCCACACTTTGACAGACTACACTCAGAAGGAACACAATACGAGCAGCTAGAAACCTCAAATAATCAAAGACTAATAGAAGCAAACATGTCAAGCAAAAAACAAGAAATAAACTGAAAACTGGCGACCACATTTTGTAGATATTGTAGATATTGATTAGTAATGGAACAACACCTGTAACGCTGCATAACAAATAGGGCTGAAGTTTTCCGAAAAAACAATGAACAAGTGATGAAAAGGAATAAAAAGGCGAGAACATCACAGCTCATAACGAGAGTGGGATTCAAAGGCGCGTATCTCGCGCCTCTGTGTGTTTTGACAATCTTTCGAGCGCTACCGTAAGCCAATATTTTTTGGCCACACTTCCCAGCATATGGTTCGCAAAAACCATATGTATTTCCTTCTAAGGAAAAAGGTTCGAGGGGAAAAAGCTACTACGGAGAGAGGAAGGATGAATCTATAGGATGATATGAAAAAGGCAGCTGTTTGAACGATTTGAAGGTAAGTTAGTGGCCTGCGGCACCCCCCCCCCCTCAGAACCTGCGGCAGCCGCAGGTTTTGAGGGGGGGGGGGGGTGCCGCAGGCCATTAACTATATCAAAAAAACATTTTTAGCGGACAATGTTTATATGAATCAATAGCCTAAACCTCATAGATTCCATAGGGATGTTTTGAGCCTGATTCGTCTTCTTAGGTCTGAGTAATATTTGGTGAAAGCACAGCAATCAAAAGCTAAAAGCTATTTTGGTTGGCTTCTAATTCAATAGTTTGGAGGTCTTCTGAAGCGGGATTCCTGAGGTGGACAAAGAAGGAGTAGTGCTTTGTATTGAGTGCAAGAAGAGGTAGCTTACTCACCGTTAAGATGAAGTTAATCATGTTTTAAATTACTGCTTTATACAGGTTGTTTATTGCTCGGAGACCTCAGAGTTCGCTGAAACTTGGCGCATAGGGGTTATTCGACACGCGGATTACGACAATTATGCTTGATTAGAGGTACGGTAGGTTACGGTGGGCATACGGTATCTGCAAGTTTGTGTCGTTGAACTTGAATTTTGCAGGATTTCAACAGCGTGGCACATCTAAGAACTTAGCTGCAGTCATTTCCCCTTAGAAACCGCTTTTGACCTTGGGTCGATACGACCCCCCCCTACCTACCCCCCCCCCCCTTTACGACCCCCCCTTGCGGCGTGCCGCACCCCCCGCTTTACCCTGGTTACAACGTTGTAGTCCAAGCATAACAAGAAGCTACACAGACAAGATTTTCAGCCGGCGGCCACAAAGCCACCGCGAAAACCCACCAAAAGCGCCGTAGCCTTATCGCCTCACTGCCGCTTCCCGCTGAGAACTGTAGAAGCGAGCGGTCTACAAATATGGCAATGAGCGGGAGGCTAAAGCTGGCAGCGGGCGGACTGCTATGAGGGCTTCAGCGGGAAGCGAAAGTGGCCGCGATGAGGCCACCGCGCTTTTGGTGGGTTTTCGCGGTGGCTTTGTGGCCGCCGGCTGAGAGCCTGTGATTGTCTGAGTACGTGTATCTCGGATGTTCGATGAACATGGAGAACGACTTGAGGGAAGAACTCAACAGGAGAAGAAGAGCAGCCTGGGCCGCCTTCGGGCCCCTGAAGGAAGCCACCGACCAACTGACGGACTCGGAGCTTCGTGCCCACCTGTTCGACTCAACCGTTCTCCCGGCGCTCTGTTACGCAGCTGAGACTTGGGCCGACACTGTAGCCACGTCGAAAGCTCTACGGACCACCCACAGAGCGCTCGAGCGCAGTCTTCTGAAGATGACCCGACGCAAGCAACATCTAGTCGGACTTCGCAGCACGGATATGAGAAGAATGTCCCGTCTTCGTGACCCAGCGGAATACGTCGCGAAAGCCAAACACCGATGGGCCGGTCACATAATGAGAAGAACAGACGACAGATGGACACTAAGAACATCGGAGTGGATTCCTCGCGAAGCCAAACGTCCCCGAGGAAGACCTCCAACGAGATGGGCAGACGTGTTCGTGGAACGGATGGACCAGCTGAGAAATCAGCTGGATACGATTTTTGCACCTGGAACTCGTGGACGCAGCCACCGACGTCAGCCAAGAAGATCGTGGATGTCAGAAGCGAGGGACAGGGAAAAATGGAAACTTCTGAGCTGGGGCCCGCACGTCACGTGAAGCCGGGCCATCTAAGTATCTAAGCTAAGTAAGTAAGTTGTTTTAAAGTCGATTTCGCTCAAAAGAGCTATTCAATAGATTTAATAAAAAAACTGATTTCTACCAAATGTTACCTCGTCACAGCAGTTCAATGGTAAATTTCGGCAGTACCATCTATGCATATTGAATGTGTTTTGCTTCCAAAATATTCTATTTGGCTTTTTCTAGTTATTATAGAATTGCATTCGTTCTTGGTTGTGTTTTTCTTGCATGTACATATATGCTTCAGTAGAGTGTATTCATGCATGTGTTTTAAATAGATGTTTTAAACACATCATTATTTTTGTTTGAAACAAAACAAATACGAAAAGGAGCTTTATAAGGTAGTGAATTTTCAGGATAGGACAGGAAAGTGCAGAAAAGTTCGTAAGATTTGAATTTGGAGCAAAACGTGCTGACATACAGCGTCAAAACGTCAAAGTGTCGCCGATGATACAACTACCGGCTGGCGACTGTCACATGACCGGCCGGCGAAAGCGCATGAGCGCCTGGACGGGATACGATGTTTCGCTAGCCCCGATCGCCGGCCGGCGAGCGGCCTGGTTGAAAAGACGGTGTTGTCTCAGCCGGTCTTCGCACAGTCGCCGGCCGGTAAGAATGTCTGAGAAAGTTTGCATGCATCTCTTACATATGTTTCTTGCTAACGTCAAATGTCGCCTGAAGATGGATTTCAACAAATTTGCACTCTATGATAGAACTTTAATGGGTTCTAACAAAAAAATACAATAGAGTTTCTTTCTTCAACTTTCTTCCGTACTCAGACAGTTTCGGCCGAGCGGCCTGCAAATACCATGCGTGGGCATTAAAATCTGCGAGACTACTCGGTATTTGCTGTGCTATTGCTATACGGCCGTGTCGCACAAAAGCCGAACGATCTGTCGACAACACCGGCCGAGCGAGATTTACTATTCGGAACATTTTGTTATACCCTTCGATCTTCACATTTTTGAGTTTAAATGCGTGGCAGGAACGATACCAAAAGCTTTATCACACTCTCAGAAATGGTGAGGTATTTTATCCAAAGCTATTTTTTCTAAGATATTACAAACATTGCTGACTCAAGCATACGGTTTGTTCGCTTTCAATAGCGCCATTACTTGACATACTGCTTCTGATGTAGATGAGCTCGGACAAATTGAAATTAGCCGGAATGGACGGTTTGGCGGTAAAATTATGCATGAGCTGTCCATTGAAAGAGCCTAGTATCTAAACTGAAGCAGTGACTACATCCAAGAATGCAAAGTGTTAAGAAACTTCTCAACAGCGGATAGGACCTCTCCGCCGGAGAAATGGCAGGGCCGCGGCGTTTCCCCAGCGGTGGGTCTGCCACTCGTCCGCCGGAGCCCTCCCATTTCTGCTCCGGAGACCTCCCATTTCTGCTCCAGAGCCCTCCCATTTTGTGCTCCGGAGACCTCCCATTTCTGCTCCGGAGCCCTCCCATTTCTGCTCCGGAGACCTCCCATTTCTGCTCCGGAGCCCTCCCATTTTGTGCGCCGGAGCCCCCCGATTTTGTGCTCCGCAAGTCTGCCGCGGCATACTGTAATTAGCCCTAATTAAGCTCCAAACCCCAACTTTGTCTCTAAACCCCACCCAAATTAGCCGAATACGACCCCCCCCCCCCGGGTAAGAGTTCAGCGCGATCCTCAACCCCGTTCTTTACCCCCTCCCTCTCACCCCTAGCGTTTGTGGATAGAAGATAGAAGAATGAAGAAACAAGACATTTATTTCAAATTAACTACAAACAATCTCCTGCAAATTGCAAAACAAAACTTAGCGGCTACAAAACGGACAACACCGACAACAGTTGCCGGCAACCTATGGCCGTAACAACAGACACAAGACATAACATAAGATGTAGTAGTAGTATTGCTAATAAGAAGAACTTTATGCAGGAAAGAAGATCCAAACCGGTGAACACGAGATAGCAAAAGCACATATCGACAATTTTGATTGCAGGTTTGCCATCATTTCAAATGCAAACTTAGAGTAGTTTTTTTGCGAAAAAGTTGGAACACAAACTTTTTGCATGATTTAGCATTAGATCCCACACGTGTGAGTATATTTGAAAACAACTCTATTTAGAGAGAAAGTCGAACATCTCTCGAAGAAAAATAACGAGCACTTGCCTCGTCCCATCTCTATCAAAACTTCTGCTGTGAAGTAGACCAAACGCGGAGAACAGTTTGAGAGTAAAATTTCCGAGAAATTTGAGATCCGATTCTTTGAACTCAGCCATACTCATGCCAACCTAAACACCAACAAATGAATACAAGGACAGAATGTGGAGATTAAACATGCCTTATTCGTTTCCGGATTAAACTTCGGTAAGCGATGTCGGGGACATGGCACAAGCTTGAAGAGTTGTGGTAAAGAGTATAGAAAATTAAATACCTGAAGTACACAAAACTCGGAGGGTACTTAAATCTACTGGCTGCGCAGAGCGCGCCCCATGCCCCAGTGCGAATTTCTGCGCGCAGGATCTTCGCTGTTGGGGCACGCTAGACATTGTGGACTTCTATTCTACGCGTACATAGGTTACATGAGTGCTGTCACTTGTCTTCCCTGGAGGTCTTCCAGATATCCACACCTCAAATCTAAGGTAAGGTGAAAATCCGTATATGCTCAGCGCTTTCTCATGGTAATTGAAGGCTCACTTGCGAAGTAGGGATCTCTTTTAAGATTTCTCTTCATTTACGTATTTGAAAAAGGTCCACCTTCTTTATTTACCACAGTTTCTCTATTAAAAAGCTGGAAAGCGTATCCATAAAAGTTCTCTGATATAGGCGGCTAAAGCTGTATTGTAGGTGTCGCCGATTTCTGTCCTTACGAGCGAGTCTCTGCCCATAAACGTGTCGAATAGTGCCAGTCAGTACGATACTAGTTACTCATAACTCTTATCCAACGTTTGATGCAAGTCCAATTGAAGACAAGTGATAGGAGTTCTAAGTTGGCTTCTAACAAAACCAGCTTGAACTTCTTAGTTAATTTTGTTGAAAGCTAACTTAGAGCTTCTATCCAGTTCTTATCGTTAGAAACCAAAGAATATCCTGATAAAACTTTTTATTTGACTAATGTTTGAAAGAGGCATTGTAAAGGAGCCCCTAATTTTCACTGAAACCTAGGGATCAAGGCTGTTTGATAGCAGACATTCCTTGCTTGCCTGTTTTTCATGAATGCATTGCTGTTTCACATCTATGTGCACCCTCCAAAGACCAGGAACGGATGGGCTTGAAGCCATCGGGCACAGTCATATGATGATTGGTGACTGAAGCAAAATTGTCAAGCATCACAAGGCATGCATAGATGCTTTGAGTTTAGAACAGTTCGATCGATGGATCGCGGATCGATGGATCGAAAAACAAAGGATTTACTGAGAAATCCTCGTATTATTCATTCTGTCAGAGGGCGCGGATCACCGACCTACCGATCTCCAGTGGCGGAAAGAAAAGCCCGCGCTGACCCCTTCGGCAGGGTATAAATACCGGGAGTCAGGGGGAGGCCTCAGTCCGCGCTGAGGAAGCGCTAGCGGGAGCTAACTCCGTCGAAGAAAGGCGGATCTCCCCCTTAGATAGAGAGTAACTAGTAAGCCTACCGAAGTGGTCAAGAGGGTAAAGCCCGCTGTTTCGCTGTTAAGCTTGTTCAAGTTACACGTTCTTGTTTTCTTGTTGTTTATTGCCGTTTTCTGAGATAAATAATTAGTCGTTCAATCCGTGTAGTCTATCGATCCGGTTGAAACCGTTATACCACTAGACACCCCCGGTTACATGGGGGCCGAGCCGACCTGGATCGTTTGAAATACACACGGGGCGACTGATATTGACTGTCTCAGAGGCAAGACAGCAGAGAACGCGTAGAACAGGCCAAGAAGGCGAAACCAAAAGACCAAAAAGGTGGGAAATCTATACGTCATCAAGCAGGTGACGTAGGTAACAGGCCAAGAAGGCCAGATTTAAGATCAACTGAAAAAGTCTCTATCATGTCATACAGAGCAGGCAGTTAAGGTATAAGGGAGAAGTGATTATTGATTAAATCATCCACGCTTAATAGAGGCGTGAGTATCGATTGTGATTGACTCTCTTCGATCAGCTGAGACGATTTCGCGTGCGGCGTTAGTTACCGATGAATGTAAAGGAAAGGCGAAGCATTTCGCTGACGAGTACATTTATGTTCATGGATATGGATCAGAAGCAAAGATGTGCAGATGATATCCATGAGAGAAAAGCACACTTGATGATGGAGGAGATAAGCCTCATCAGAAAAGAAGTGGAAATGCTACCTGGGATGGTAAGCAAGGTCCTTAGCCGATGTAGGATATCGGTTGATGGATTACCACTTAAAGAAGAGTTGGAGGCTAAGGTAGCCACAGTGTTAGGTAGGCTGGAGAACCTAACAGCCGAGTTAGACCAGATACTCGGTCAGAGCAACGGCAGTTGCAGTGAGGGAAGGCAGTGTGTTGAGAAGGTCGGATGACGGACCACTCGACAATCATCGAGGTGTGGAAGATTAGTTGTTCAGCTATTTTCAAAGCATGACTTTTCCTGATCCTGGAGTCTTCGAGGGCTATGAGGATGAAGACTTTGACAGGTTCATTCGAAAGTTCAAAAGAAAGTATGGTACCATGCCCAGGATGAACAGTTGCTGATAGAGGTCCTGGGTGATGAACACTTGAAAGGAAGGGCAAGGTCCTTATTTTTGAGCATACCCATGGGGGTAAGACAGCAAGGCTTTGACAGAGTAGTGAGGGAGATGGCTTCACTGCTGGCCTGTGACTCCACAGCAGCTAGGTTGAAGGCGCTGACAGCCTTAAGGAACATGCGCTTAAGGCCAGGCCAAGAGGTTGCAGACTTCTGTGTCGCCCTCGAGAACCTAGCAAGGAAGGCCAATCCTCAATGTACCATTGAGGAAAGATCGATGGAGTACGCACAGATTCTGCTGGAAAATCTGACATCATGGCCAGAATACGTACAGCTGGTGGGAACCCTACACCAGGTGGACCCAGCTGAGGCATATAACAGAATAAAGGAAGTCGCGATTGAGATCGAACAGTCGCGAAGATTTTGCAAATTTGAGAGGAGGAGTGAACAGCAAGCTCCGTCCTAGAGGAAAGCAAGTAGAAAGGAAG